GAAAAGCCCTTGATTGTATACTAATCCGTCTCTCACCTCTGGCTGACACCTGTGGCAGATAAACCCTACAGAATAGGAGTCTGATGAATACTCTTAATTAATACTTTCTTCCTTGTAGAAAAGTAATTATTTGCTCATGGCATAAACAGGTATTTGGCAGGGATTTAAAGAGACTGATTGGTTTTAAATAGAAAGGCTTTGTTTTGTTGGTGGTTTTTTTTTTTTGGTTTTTTTTTTTTTAGGGTGGGGAAAGGGAGGCCTGAATTCAAGTTCTGCGTTCAGGATGACTTTGTCCTCGCATTTTGAGTGTCGGCTTAATTGGCACGTTACTAAATAGGAGCAGACTCAGACAACAAGCTGATTTGTTATCTGTCTCATAGGAAAGAGCTTTGCCCCTTTGCTAATGGCCTGCAAGTCTGAACAGTGTCTGAACACGGTACCTGTAAGGCAGAGGCTTGAAAATGGCTGATTTGGAGCCAGGATTGGGGGTGAGAGCGACTTGCAGTTGAGAGATTGCCAGAGATAATTCTGCCTCTCGCTTCCTCTCAAAATTACGCTCTACAAGAGGGGAGGGCTGGCTGTGGACATACAGCCAATGGATTAGTACTAGCTGCAGGTGTTAACAAATACGTCTTTTTAATGCGTACTTTAGGGCAAGTATAAGTAGTTTATGAAAAATCCAGCTAAGTGTTTCAGGAGCAGTGGTAAGAAGGCCTTGAAACCAAGCCATACGAGAGGATGCTGACAGTGCAGTTTGAAGTGTAGCTAATGGACTTTTTGTAGGTAATGCTACTGTAGTATTGAAAATATAGTAATACAGGCTTCTGTGTTTAGCCCTTGAGTAAGAAGTGTCCAGGGCTCTACACAGTGCATGCTGCAAAATGTTTACAGCTATTTGTACTCTCATTAGATAGATTAAAGCTAATTTGAATGGGTCTAGACATCCTGTGTTCCCTTTGTTTTACTGCAGTACAGGGTAATCTGAGTTTCACATGCCATGAGCAGTCCTTTCTTCCAACTTCAATCCTCTGCTTGTTCCATGCTCATCTCCAGTCTTTGTGGAAGTCATCTTTAGGCAAGGACAGACTGAAGGCTGCTCATCAGGCTCCCTTCAGCCACCTTCTGTGTCATATTGTTACTCAAAATGAGGAGAGAAAATTAAAGCAGAAACTGAAATGAACTTTAGGATGAGATTAGTATGTAAGACATATGTGAAATAAAACTGCAATTTTAACATGGAATGCAGATCTCTGAAGTAGTTCAGAGAGGAACAGTGCATGCAACTAGCCAAGTTAAAAATGATATTCAGAAAAAAATTACCAGCTCATGCTATTGAAAGAAAACAGTTGAGAGATTGGTCAGATGATCTCCAGAGGTCCCTTCCAATCCCAACAATTCTGTGAAAACATGAATGGACATTTTTGCCTTCCCCTGTGGAGTGTATCACAGTCTGTTTTCCATGTTTTCCTCTAGCAAGGCTAGCTGTTGAAAGGGCAGAAAAACGTCTCCTAGGCAAGCAGATACAGGGCTGGGTTTCAGCTGTGCCTCACTTTCAGTAGAAGTTATCTTGTTCACAGTGTTGTCAGTGGTGGACAATAGCACCCCAGTCTCTGTCACATCTGTGACAGACAAAACAGGGACACACGTCCAAGGATGTTCTTTACGGCAACCATACTTGATCAGAAAGGTTAAAAAAAAAAAAGCATGTCACCTTCTTTGTACATTTTGATACTTATGAAAAGATGTCAGGGGCTTTTTACCCTTCATCTCCTTCAAGATGAACAGAAATGGGCAACTGTGAAGCTGCTATCCTTGTTCATTAAAAGTGTGTGTTGAGGAGAGAAATCCCAAGGTCTTTGGGAACAAATACTTTGAAATGAATACTGCTGCTGTGATGCTTATTTCAGCCAGCTGGTGGGAAGAAGTCTATTAAGGCTGTGTGTTGTCAAGCCAGGAGCTGAGCTCTGCTGGAGTGCCTGGTTTGTCATGTCTGAGGACCAGAGGGAAGCACCAAATGTAATCTGTAGGGCTGTTTATTTTCAGTGCTGAAGGAAGTTCCAGCAGCATGCACTGCAGAGGTGACACGCACAGAAATACTGTGCTACTGGAGGTTTTATTTACAAAAGGAGCCTTTTGCCTGTTTTCTGTCCTGGCCTCTCATTGTCCTTGTTTGTGAAAGCAGGACTCGTAGATGAGCAAAGGGTAGAGCTTTGCTCTTCTAATGTTACTGACCAAGTACTCAGGGCTGAGTTTTTAAATGAATCTGTTTTCACTGTAAAAAGTGGTTCCTGGAGGAAATTTGATTTCAAGCTGTCTGCAGTTCTTTTGTCCTTGGGCTTCTCATGCCTCAGAAAACATTGGCTACATCTGTTACTGAGGAAGTTTGTTCCCAGGGCTCCAGGGTGCACTTTTCTTATGGCAGGACTTGTTAGCAGGGGCCATCGATAAGGATGCAGCAATTTTACACTGCTCTGCTAACCTCACACTGCTCTAATACTGGCATTAGCAGTCTGGAAGGGCATCCCCTGCAGTACAGCAATGTTTGTTAGTCTTGCAGGGTTTCTACGCTCAGGAAGAGTTCTTCATTAACATCTTCAGAAAAGAAATAATCGTTAATTCTCTTTTCAAATCTTCATGCAGCATACAGAGAATTTTGACAACACATTAATTGATACATTTTTGTCATTTTTGTGCTTGCTCATCAATCTGATTCTCCTGTTTATTCACATTTAAATGGCAAGCTGAAGGAAGGGACTGTGCCTTTCCTCTTTGTGGGTACAAACTCAAGCACAGTGGGGTTCAGAGCTGGAACTACTGCTTCTAGATGCAACAGTAATGCAAGTGAATAACTGCTAGTGGAACCCTAGCCTGGTGCCTCTAGACACCTATGTCTTACTGGAGTGCTGATTTGCCTTTTAACTTTATCAGCCTGAGACTTGGAAGTATGCCTTGTTATAGAGGAAATATCCATACTGTGAGAGCACTGATGCCAAATAATTTCCCCAAACGACTTCCCCTCTGGGTGGTAAAGTACATTTTTCTGTTTTATTTTCATTCCATTATATTCTCTATCTCAAGAGAAAGATATAGATATATATATATATTTCCCCTCTCATCTACACTTAAATTTCCATATTGTTTAGTTTAAGAGAAAGTAACTTCATACACTGTGGAAATGTTTCCTATTCTCTGATAGTGATTAATAGCAACAAATCTAAAGACAAAACATAAAGAATAAATGACAGATACCAACAAATGGGACTTCCTTAAAAAGGTTTAAAGGCTAATGATCCCTGAAATGTATAAAAATAAATTGCTTCATTAAAAACTATTTTACAAAATCATTTCTTTTTAGCAGCATATTTTCTTCAGAACAGTTCCCCTGTGTAACTGCATCTGGGTAGTAAAATTTGATTCAGTGCTGTTCACGTGGACCCACATAGGGTTAGATGCCCTAATTGTGCCTTGTCCCTGTGCCTCGTCAGAGGAGCCGGAGAGGGCTTAAAATTAGGCATGTTCAAGGTAAGGCTGTTGCAGTTTCCTTTTTGCCCAGAGGTGAGAGTGCCCTTCTTTCAAAGGCAGCAAGAAACATGTTTAAACATGAGTGACTGGGCTTTTCTTTAGATGGGCACAGTGCTTGTGAGTCATACGCATGGCTCAAACCACAGCCACTCTGCTCTAATTAAAGAGAACTACACCAGGAATGCGTAATAATTAGGTTAGCATGTAATACACCATCCATGTCAACAGCATCTGCCGCAAAGGTTGATTGAAATGTCCTCATCCTCCAAACACTCTGCTGCCTCTAGAGCTCCTCCACTAATTAATTACTATCCTGTCCTACAATAGCACTACTCCACAGAAATCTGCAGAAAATTAGAGCAAAGACTACATATAAATCTGCCCCGTTTTAGCATGGCTTGTAACATCAATGGGAGAAAACCACCCACATAAACATAAAGATGAGAGATCCCTGTCCTAATGAAGATGAATTACAAATAAAAGCCTGTTGTGGGAATGCTGTTTTTTCAAGTTGTCTGTTGTTTAAACAGACACAATACTTTTTAGCTAAATGCTTAGCCATAGACCATTATTGCTTGAATTTTTGAAGTGTTTAATGAATAAGAAAATGTTCTGCTAGAAATATAGTTTGCCTCAGAACTTTTCTATGCTTTTGCTATCAGTTTAGGAAGAAGGTCAGTTGTTCAGGGGAGAGACGTGGAAAAGTGACTGAGACTCATGCAATATTGTAGTGCAGCAGGCTGGGTACAGCAGATCACATGATTGTATTTCAGAGTGACAAATCTCCAGGGCTGTATCCAGTGCCCACTGAGCATCTTTGAAGCAGTAAGTCAAGAGTTGTAGGAGCCCCATGGCTGCTGTCCCCATCCAAGAGGGGACGGGACCGAGAGCTTTACTGGCCAAATGGAGTCAGTCTGGTTGGCTTGGTCTGATTGCACCTTTTAGAGAAAAAGACTTAAGGTTTGAACTCCTGAGTTTTGGTTTCAGATTCTGCTCACCATGGTGCTGCTTGATGTTAGAAGTCTGTGTTCATGTGTTAAGAAAAATGCTGGCCTCTTATGGATGGCTTGAGGGACAGAGTCAAGGAAGGGGCACCCTTTGCAGGCTCTGTTGCTCATAACTATTCCCTTGCCACTCAGCACTGATGCTATTGGAAACCAATTCTTGGTCTAACCTACTGAAACAGTTCTTAAACAGCCTTGAGTGTTTAAATGTCCTTGTTAAACTCACCTGCATGTGCAGGCTGAAAAGTGTGAGATTAATCATATACATCCTTAAAAGAATAGAATCTGATTACATAGGAGAGCAAAAGAAAGGACAGGAAAATCATGCTAAGATACAGTTGGGAAATGAAATTATTGTAATGAACATATCTTCAGAAACAGGAATGTAAAGATCTCGTGTTTGTCTGAGATCTCCCACCTCCCAGAAAAGAAATAGATGTAAATGGAAAAAAAAACGTGATTCTCCTCCAACAGGACACGACAACGTCTGTGCGGATAGGACTTATGATGGAAGAAATGATCTTCAACCTTGCAGATACACATCTGTTCTTTAATGACCTGGAGGTATGTAGCTGCTTATTTTATTTAGCATCTCTCTTTCTAATCATTTGCATCTGGTCTACAAACTTGCTTTTCTGGCCAAGAAACTTTCAATATTGACCCCTAAGAAATGGTCCTTAGATGGTTATATTGAAAGCATACTATACTATGTCCCTTTGACATCTTCATTCTGTTAAGGATTTTTTTTCTAAATACATACTAACAATGATGGCTTTTGGCAGTTTTACTAAATCTAATAAAGAGGACATTACTGCTGCTTCTCTAGAAATTTGCTATCTAATAATTTTATTAAGCTAAATTAGCATACATCCTATGGAGCAGTTAGCAATTAGCTGCAATCCAATGCAGAGGTTTTAAACGTGTTCTCTGTTCTGCACACACAGGTGGAGCAGGAGGTCTGCTCAAGCACAGGAATACTGCAGGATGAAATTATATGAGTTTCTACATGAAAGACTGAAAGGGAAAACTCTTCCCTGTCTGCAGTATGGTTAAATCTGACTAAGCATGTCTTATACAAATATAAAGTCTTATAAAAAGTGAAAATCCTTTTGAATGTACAGTAAAATCCAACCAAAGTCATGCAAGCAAAATTCTGTCACTAGCTGAGAAGCAGCTGTACAGTGCTGGTGAAAAGCTGTTTGCATTTGGAATCAGTAGAAATGGTCTGAATGAGTCATCTACAAAGTGTGTAGGGTGGGTTTGAGCTGTAGGTACCTTGGAGTCTGAGGAGAAAGATCTGGCACCCCTTGGCAGGCTCCTGTGGTCTTTACTTCAAAAAGGAAGATTTTGTTCATTTTTTCTCCTGCGGTGGATAAAATGGGAGAACTTTTCCTGTACTTGGTGTGTCCAATGGGGACTTCTGATTTCCAAGCTGCCTGACAGCACTGTGTGCTCAGCACGCTGTGGGAGATGCATCCTTTCCTGGCACCCACTTTACTATGAGCTGGGATTTCATTTACTGAGAATTATCTGAATTGACAGATTTTTCCTCTTTCAGCTCTTTTTTTAAAAAGAGGAGTTTGTGAAGAGGGTGCAGGAAGTGGAAAGTGAAGTCTGTCTCCAAGGATAAAAGAATAGAGACATGCTGTTTGGAAGTCAAAGGTTCTGCTTAGGCAGCAATAATATTTAATAGAATCATAGAATGTCTGAAGTTGGATGGATTTCACAAGGATCAAAGGGTCCAATTCCAGATCCACACAGGCCCCTTGAAAATCAATCCTTGTTTCTGAGAGCATTGTCCAAATGCTTTGTCAACCCTGGCAGCTTGTTGCTTGACCACTGCCCTGGGAAGCCTGTTCCATTCAAAGCCAGTATTTTTCACCCATGAGATCTCAACGTACGGTGTCACAAAGCTCTTTATCTTGCAGAAAGCCACATGGAAACCCTCTGTCCATCTAGAGTTCTGCCCTCTTGGCAAAACTTTTTGACAAGTTTTCCCCTTGCTTAACATCTTACCACTCTAAAACATGGAACAAGCTAGCAAATTGTCCAGCCTTAGTTAAATTCTGCACTTTCATCAGTCAGTAACAGCTTCTAGCAGCCTCCTTAGGTCAGATTTGTCTTTGATGGCCTCTGAAGTTCTTCAACCATTACAGTAGAGCTAAGTTTTTAACTTAAAAGAAGTCTTTTTTTTTTCATTTGTAATTCCTAGATATTAAGGAAGCCAAAGCTAAACAAAAATCACTCAGAGATGGGACTCTGTCATTCCAGCAGGACCACATAACTGAGTAAGAGCTAGTCTGGCAAAAAGCTGAAGTTTACCATGGCTTCTCCAAGTAGAAGTCAGCCTTCTACAAAATATCTGGGCTTCATCTCCAATGTAGGAAGAGAGATAGATGCTGCAAGACATACCTGTTCAGCAAAATATTAGAAAGATTGCCTCTAAGTAGCTTGGGCTACAAAGATGCTAAGTAAAAACATTTATTTTCCTAGTGCTATTTGTTTGCTACATTAAGAGAAAAAAATCTTGCTGATTTTTTTTGGGCTATCTTATCATCTTACCTTCTTTTATTAAAAAAAAATTGAGAAACACAAAGTTGGCAGCTGGACTTGGATGGCTCAAAGCCATGAAAAACTTTAGAAATTTCAAAAACAAGTAGGGTTCCAGTTAGCCAGAGCAGAAACAAGCAAAGAGAGAACAGAGCATTGTGAGACAGCTTTTTCTTCAACATGCATGAAACAAACCAAAGATTTTTTCAAACCAAAACCAGACCAAGGTGTTTTGGTTTTAACTGAATGTTTTCAGTAATGAACATGGAAGATGAGGGAGAATTCAAGAGAAGTGAATGTTCTTTACATATGATGCTTTCCAGTAAATTAAGCCATTTAAGTTTGGAAGAATTTGCAACAGACATCCCTCCCTGTTCATCAGCCATCCAATTCTTTCAGTGTTGGATGGTAAGCTAAAGTCAAGTTTGAGTATTCACAAAGTGATATTTAACGACTGTGCATTAACAAGTATTGGGTTTGAAAAAGACACAGTGAATGATACTTTAAAAAAAAAAGACGATGAAAAAGAAGAGGAACACGCAGAGAAGCTGATTCAGGTCTAGACCCACAGGGCTTACCATATACATCAGCACCATCATGTGGTATAACACTGAGCTGTGCAGTACAAAACAAGCTACAGCCACAGAGGGCTGAGACTGTTTCTGGCTGTATTCTGGGTTGGGTCAAGGTGCAAGAAGCTGTGGCTGATAAAGCGGTAGGATAGTTACACTGTTCAAGCATAAAACAAGATTACTTCGTCAGGAAATGTTAACCTCAGCAAAACATTTCTCTGACATAAATCCATAGCCTACTTCAGGCATTCTGGGAGGGCCCAGCAAGCCTGGAGGGAGCAGATTTCTTCTATAATACCACGCCATCGTCTTGTCCAAAATACTAAGCTGCCCTTTGCTTTGCTGTTCTTGCCTTGAAAACAAACAAAATCAAGAGGATGAGTTATTCCCACTGATGCAGACCGTCAACTCAGCAGATGACAGAAGAGTAAATAGAAGGCTTTTTCAGAGCTTACTTCTTTAAAACTGTGCCAATGGGTGCAAGAAATCAGACCGCTTTTAGTCTGCACCTCTGCCCTGTTGTCACCCTTACCATGATTGTGATCCACACTCAGTGCCATCCTACTACCTGGCACTCTGTTGTCTGTCAGGAGTTTATGTGCTCTCGGGGTTTTCCTGGTGAGGATTCAGGCAACTGGATGCTTTGCCTAGAAGCATTTTGCCTGCTATGCCAGAGAACAAGAATCTTGATGAACCAGCAGATCCATTCAAATGAACTGCTAAACTCACCCTGTCTTGTTGCTGCACTCTAGGAGAGGCACTAGTTTCTTATAGGATTCACTCCAGGCCTCAGGCCAGCTGAATAGGAGGCTGATCATCCATCCTCAGGGCAGGTGGGTGAATGGAGAAGCCCTAGGTCTAGACTCTTACTGAACACTTCAGGTCTTCTTCTAGAAAGATTGTTTATGAGTTAACTCTCAAATAGCAGAATTGAGAAGCTGGACTTCTTTCAAGCTGTTTCAGGTTGGTGGGGTAAGGTTGATACTTGTTGAAGCCCAGTTTGTTGGTGTGGCTGCTTTGAAACAGAGAATCAGGGCAGCAAACTTTGACAAGGGTGCTTAAGGCACGCTATTACACAAGTGTTGTCCCATGCTGGAGACTGTTAGCAGCACAATGCAGACAAGCAAGAACCTGCGTTTGCTGAGCCACGTTTTCAAATTGTAAATGTGGGTTTTTCCTGCACTAATTCACCTACTCACATCGCACTTAGGTGCTTTTTGGCCACATCACCTCTGCTTGCAGTTGGAACAGTGCAGACATACAGATGCCTATGGTCTACAAACAGGCCATGCAAAGTGTTGCCTACAAAGGGCTCTGATCACACTGCAGAATGGATGGGCAAATACTCATGTGGAAGGCAGTACTCTCACTCTTTGTTCACTTTTGAGAAATCATGGAGAATAGGAACTGCCCAAGATTACAGATCAGAGAGAAGCTAAAATATGGACATTCAGCATTATATCTTTTCCCTCTAGACTCCTTTTGTTCAGAGTGCAATACTGGCTAAAAAATAGTGCATTTCACTCTCAGTCCCTCTGGAGATATTATTGCCTAGCTCTCTGAAAAAAACAGGTGTGAAAAACAAGGTGGACCAACAAAGGAATGAGGAACTAACAAGTGAGGTGGTTAGCATGTTTACAGATTACTGCCTTTCAGAGCCGTCCCTGGAGGTTTCATGTTCTGGGACCTGTTAACTCTCACCCTCAATCTTAAAAAGGGATGCAAGCTTAACAGATCCACTAGATGAATCCACTAGCTGTTTTTTAAGGATTATCTAACACACTTCTGATACACAGATGGACAACGTCCGTGTTGAGAGACATATCTTGAGAACATTCATAAGTGGTAACTGAGTTTCTCCGTGCATCCTTGGGAACAGCTTGTATTTCACAAGGAGGCAGCAGAGGCTTTCTCTGAGCTTGCAGTACAATGTTAGAGCTGTGTTAGCCCACGTTCAAGGTTTTAATCCCACCTGGAGACAGGTCATGTATCACAGGCCGGCCTAGAGATGTCACAGCAGAAAAAACAGTTCAATTCCAGAAGCTAGGAGGAGTGGCTGAGGAATCACACATTTGGCTCAGTTGCAGGCTGCACATGCCACAGATCACGTACCTCTGAGATCCTAGAATATTATTTTTAAAAGCCAGCAGATGTGGAAACTGGGATTTCCAGTTTCCATTGCAGACTTCATTTAGACAACCTGGACCTTCTTTTCAGCAGCCCAAATATCCTGCCCTGGTTCCCCATTCACTAAGATTTCAAGGAAATTCTGCAAGAATGAAAAATTAGTCTTGTAACCAAGTAGTAAAACATGGTCCACATTCTTGCTTTAAGCAGCTTCCCCATGTTTTACCCAGTAACTTGATAGGCTCAGCCAGTGGACTATGAGGTAGCGTCTCACCAAGTGTCATGGTATTTTATGAAGTCAGAAATGTGATAGCTACTATTGTCACACTTCAGTGTACAGAACAATTCATTCACAAATGAGAAAAACAGATCCCTCCACACATACCTTTCCCCTGACTTAATGCCCTGTATCACACAAGTGAACCAGAGTGGACTGCATCAATATTATCCCAGCATGGCTCACAACAGCTAAAGGGAGGGGGAGGTTAAAAACTGACAGTGGATGAAGGAGAGAGAGGTGCCAGCAGAAATCTGCTATTCAGCTGCTTGGCTCCGCTTACACAAAACACACACCTCAGCAATACACTGATGAAGGGAACTAAAGAGACCAGAACAAGATAAAAGTGGATGGGTTTTGGAGAATTACCTAGAGTAAATGCTGTCGTTATTATGGACAAGAGCCATCCATGACATTTCACCACTGAAATCAACACTGGTTACTTGTTTGGGGGATTTTGTCCTTTTTGAAAGGGCTAGTTTAAAATAATTCATAAAGCCCATAATTGTGTGGGAAGATATTACAGTACATACTGTGAGCTTTGCACACAAATATTACAAAATACTGACATTGGAAAGGATAACTCTACCTGCAGTTTTTCTGACTCTGAAGAAGGTTCCTTTTATCAACCATGCTTTTGCTTTTTCTGGTTGAGTCAACCAGAACAAAGCATAGTGTTTGCCAGCTTGAAGGTTTTCTGTTTTGTCCTTACCAACAAGGATTACAGAGAAAGTAGATTAAGGTGGCAGGAGGGAGCTTACTGATTTCTCTCTAATGATGATGCTAACACTAGGAAAGAAATCACAGAAATAACAAGTTTTTAAGGCACAATTCAAACAGTGAAGAATTTTGGAAGATACAGAATACATATTTCATGCAGGCTGAGCTCCAAGTATATATTCTGGTTGTATTTCCTGGGCATCGATTTCCTCCCTCTTGACACATCGTTCCTTTAGTGTGTTTGTGGCATGGAGCTATGAAAGAGTGCCTTCTTCAGTGCTTCAGCACAGCTTCCCTGTGCACCAAAGGAAGCTGAACTCTCTCAGTGTGCACTGGAAAAACACCAGCAGGACAGTCGTATCTGGAAATTTCTGAGAGACAGATCTTCTCTCCCTGTAATTAAGTGAGCATATGCCTCCTGTCCAAAGGAATATTTTCACGAGGGGCAGGCTGACAAATCTGCACTTATCATGTACACAGAGTTTACGGAATACAGTTTTCCTGCCTAAAGCACAAGCATCCTCTATCCCTTCTGTCTGCTTAAGAAGGAGTTCACTTGCTATACTATGCAAGAACTTCTATGTCTTTAGATAAGAGCTGGCCTCGTACACCGCACACACAGTAAGTTTTTACACAAGTGCTGTGTAGCACTTGTAGCAATTAACTGACTACGCTATGCTAGACAGTATTGGCAACATGGAAGATTTTATCTTAGCGTTATCCTTAAAGTAATTTTTCATCCTATGAAACATTTTATTTTTTTCCCAAAACATTTATTTACTGATTATTTCTTTTTTTTCATCTACTCCTCAGGACTGTGACCAGATCCACATAGATGATGTATCATCAGATGATAATGGACAAGATCTAAGGTATGGGATCTCCAGGCTGGAAGCTGCAGGTCAGGTAGTCCTCAGCTGTTTGAAAATAGCAGGAGGTTGGACAGTGATATAGAGAAATCTTTCTTGGTTATGTATCTTCTCTGCTCCCTGGCTGCACGCTGTCTGCAATTGTTAAACACAGGAAGAGCACAGAGTTCTTGTTCACACGCTTACATGCCTGTACCTACTGTAAAGCCCTGACCTTGCTGAGTTTCAAGTCGTTCTAGGGAATGTTTAAAATCAGATTGAACTTCAGTCTAACTGCACCTGTTTCTGATATGATTTAGCCAGCCAGCTGGCACAGGTGTTCCCAAATCATTTCAAAACCAGTTTGAAAGGTTTCCCACTGCCCCACCGGAATGAATGGGCTTTCTAGTAAAGACTGTGGACCTTGCTAGGCCAGATCCTCGTCAGTTATGAACACGTACCAGAACTGTACCAAATATTATTATCACCTGTTCCATAAAATCACCTATATCCATAAAAACTATTTCCATTTACCTTAGCGTTGCTTGCAGAGTAATTTGCCATTGGTGCAAAAATAGGGTATGCAGAACTCATACAAGGCTGAATGCAAACATTTTAAAATAACAAGAGCCAGTACTGCCTCTTTGCATGTCCCCCCAGTCCTTTTCTCAGGGAATTGATCCACCTGATTCACCTCAGTGCTGAAGAAATGCTTACACTGATTCAAAGAAAGGCACGTCAAGGAAGACTCAAGACAGGAACAAGTGCCTTGTCACAGATCAGAGGATTACTGCATTCCAAGATATTTAGAGTGGTTGTGGAACTGCCACTGGTCCCCATCCATTGTCGTAATTATTCAGGAGTTGCTTTGAAGTATTGTTTTTTAATTTGTTTAAAAAGCATTATACGTTGCAGGCATTTAAGAGTTAGGTAATTTCTTAATATTTTTATTCCTTGATTAATGTTTTCAGAGCAATATAGCCAAGCAGTCAGCAAGGTAGCATCAGAATTTTGTTCCCTTAAGATTTTAATATTTCTGCAGTTACCTTAGCTGCCTGGATAAGAGGCAGCTGAGGATTTTCAGTGACCTGAGGACAGTCAGATGTTTTGTAGTCTAGTGAACCTCAGGACTGGCAGGAAGCACTGAACCTATGCTGTGTTTACAGTAAGAATTGTTTTGGTTTTTTTTTTGATCTGTGCAAGTAGCCCTGTTTTCAGATGTTAATGTCTGAATGGGATCATGGGTCTGGCAGCCTGCTTGATTCTTTAGCCTGGAAATAAATCATTCAAGTAAAATAAAAATAACAGGCCACAAATGCCCTTTTAGATCTTTTGGGTATCCTAGTTGCAGACACAAGTATTACACATTGCAGTGTAGCATTAGGCAGGGTGGCACACACGTTTCTGGGGCTTGAGTGATAGCAGACAGCAATGATGAATTCCACTGTTGTACAGCTTGTCCTGTGTACATCTGTGCTGCTACTCGTCTCCATATTTCTTTCCAATTGTTTCCACTCACTGCTGGTGCTGCATAGACTGTAATTATAATGGCCTCTCCTCTTCCCTTCTTCCTTCTAGCACGTATAACTTCTCTGCAGATGGCTTTCACAGTTCAGCTGCCAGTGCAAATCTATGTCTGGGCTCAGGCGTTCATGGGGGAGTTGACTGGATGAGGAAATTAGCATTCCGCTACCGCCGGGTGAAAGAGATGTACAACACCTACAAAAACAATGTTGGGGGTAAGTATCTGCTGCCAGGCAGTAAGTGTGCCTTTTCACCCTCTCAAACCCTTCTGACCCTGCTAGGAATATGCTGCAGAGGAGGAGTAGAGAGCATAATGATAACAATACTGAGCTGAACAAGTCTTTCAGCAGTTATTCTGTACGGGATTTGCAAGAGCTGTGCTGAAATACTTGGTTTAGTAAATGGAGGACTCAAATCTGAATATGGAACTGTATTTGGTCATTTGTTTGGCAGAGAACAACCTTTTCAAATCTTCCAAAATGCCTAGTAAGCAAGCAGACAGTTCAAAACTCAGTAGACTGCTTTCTTCCACAGAAGAACGTATGGCTGAGTTTCATCTGAAGGCATTCTTGAATGCCTACTATCTCCCCTAAAACAATATCGGAAGATGCCATGATGCCCTCAGATTTTTCGTCTCAGCTCGTTCCAGGCAATTCTTCCAAGAGATTGCTTTGCTTCTATTTTAGAACTTCAGTGGCAGGTCTCTGAGTAGAAAGAGAAAGAAGTAAATCTAAGAATATCACCACAGACCTGTTTCATTTTTGGAGAAATGCCCTACCCGCATGTACTGGAAATGGGGCACAGCTTTTCAGGAAGAAAAAGGACCTTCTTGGCTTCAGGCTTCTCTTAGCTCAAGCCACCAACCCCTGCGCAGAACTCTTTTGTCCTCTTGCCCATTTCCATATGAGCTTTGTGCTAACTCCAAGAAGGATGTTTTAACATGGGCCTGCAGAGTGCAGGTGACCGATACCATTCCTTTACAGAGGAAGGAAGCTGATCTCCAGTTGCACAGCAGTGTGTTGCAATCAGGGCTTGTGTACCTTGAGGCAAAGGAAAGCAACCTGCACCAGTGACAGGAGAAGGGCACTGGAAGGGGCGGGATTCAGAACACAGTGAGGGGCCCTTTGGCATACTTACATACAAAAGCACTCAGCTCCCTTTCTGTGCTGCTGCAAAGATGTTTCCCTGCTTACAGGTTTAATAGGAGCTCCTAAGAGGGAAACCTGGCTGCAGTTAAGAGCAGAACTGGAAGCGCTGACTGATCTCTGGCTCACACATGCTCTGAAGGCGCTGAATTTGATACATTCCCGGTAAGAGCAGCTAACACAACTGCCTACAGGCTTGATCCAGGATCTCCTTTACTTTCCATTTTCCCCTTCTTCTAAACAAATTGAGACACATATACAGGACTTTGCTGGCCAAACCTGTGGGAGGCCTGTGCATATGTTTGTCAGACTTGTATTATTAAGGGTTAGGGGTCACTTGAGATGATGAACTGAGATGAAAAAAAAAACCAAAAAAGCAACCACTTTTTTCTTACCTTTCCTTGCCTACCTCATCTGCAGTACACCTTTCACATGCAGAGATTTGCAAGAGAGTAGGAAAGGGCCTTTTAATCCCTGAAGACATACACTCAAGCAGAGCATGAACATTGCCTACATGGTGTTGAGGTTCCTGCAAAATAGATCCTGTCATGTGTACAGTAAGGCTGCATCACTACTGCTGGATTATGTTTGGGCTTTTTTCATTCTACTGAGTTTATAAGGAAATGTTATCAATACTCAGGCTACAAACCTCTAGGTACTTAATCCCCCAGTGGCTTGGAAACTTCCAGTTGCAAGAAGTGTGTTCTTCTTGCCATTGTTCAGTTTGAGGTAAGAAAAAGAAATAGATTGCCACCTTTGCTGACTTTTGTTTCCTAGGCCTAACTGTGTAAATGTGTTGGTAACCACAACTCAGCTGATACCAGCTCTAGCAAAAGTGCTTCTCTATGGACTAGGCACTGTCTTCCCAATCGAGAACATTTACAGTGCAACAAAAACAGGTAAGAACAAAGTAACTAAGGCTTCAGCAAAAGACTGATTAAACTTTTATCCCTAATTCAGGGACATCCACTCAACCCAACTGCAACAAATAACTAAAATAACAAATATGAACTTTAGCTTAAGATTCATGTTTACATCACACCTGTGATTTGCATGCTAACAACCCACACTTAAGCTAGTACAGACCACAGAAAAAAAAGTACAGAAAAAAAAAAAGCCACGTGTCTCTATGGGAAAGTAAGCCTGAAAAATACCCACCTTATGGAGCAGCATTTCGAATGTGCAGCTGCACCTTGCTAGGAGGGGGACAGTGTGGTTGGACCTCTTACAGAAACACGGTTTGGATCCTGTTACTTGCAGAGTCAAGTGCTGAGTGAGTTTTAGAAAAGCTGTGAGAGGAATAAATATTGACAGAGTTGGCTTGGAGCTTTTGTTTTCTGTCCCTTCTGGTATGACTTGGTTTGAATCTTTGAGGTTTGTATTTTCACGTTCACTTCTGCAACCAGAACGAATAGAATAGGGCAACTCGATACAATGAGTGTTACATCACTCTACCAACTGCCAGTCTAAGCCCTGCAAAGTCACAAAGCTCGTGGAAAATTAGCAGCACCTAGAATTCTCCAACTGTTAAAGGTCTCATAGCTTTCAAGAGAGAATCCATCTGAGATGAAGATCCAGTTGGGATCTTTAAAAAAGTGGGGAATGCAGCAAGTAGTTTATGACATCAGTTCCAGAATGCGAATATCAGCCCCAATTACTTTATGCATCCAGATAAAATATATGTCTTCTCTTCTGTTGCTCAGGAAAAGAGAGCTGTTTTGAAAGAATAATGCAAAGGTTTGGAAGGAAAGCTGTGTACATTGTAATAGGAGATGGTGTTGAAGAGGAACAGGGAGCAAAAAAGGTACAGTCTGTGGATGCCATTTTGGATTCTTCCAAGCTTACATTTCAATCACTGTTTCTCTGCTCACACATTTAATGAAGCTCCTTCCATTTGAAACAGTTCAGAATTAGACTCAATTCTTAACATGCAAAATACTTCATCTTATGAGCAATTTCTTACTGTAAATTCCCTCATCTTGGCAGTAAGTGAAATTTTTCAGATAGTTTCTCTATCACATGTTCCAGGAATCATTCTTGCTTAATAAAGATCACTTTAAAACACATGAAAAGGAAAACTCCAGTATGTGGTTTCAGACAAGTAAGTAGAGTTAATTTTTGATCTATAAATGGTTTGGGTTTGGTGATAGTAGCCTGCTGCTTTTGACAGCCCAGTGCCATACTTTAAAGGTAGTGGGTCAGTGAACATGACTGCATCAAAGGCTGCTGGGCTCTCTGGTAATATGAAGATGGGGGAAGGTTCAGCAGTCTGGTATAGGCAGGATTTCAAGGACCCTCTTGCTTGTGCCTCCTGGTCTAAGCAGCTCTCCCATTTGCAGAGCACATTCTTTGCTGGGCTGTCACCTCCTGTGATTGATGACAATCATTAGCTAAGGCTTCTACACCTGAGCTTTATCAAAAAAAAGAAGAAAGGGAGGCAGGAGGAGGGCATGCAGAGAGTCTTTGACTGTTCTGCCGACAGCACTGATAATATCTCTTTGGTGAGTCATTTTTCCTCACCTGTCTGATGAGTGATAAACCTGTAAACACTGAACAACAGGATTGGCCAAGAGGCCCAAGTTTTCTTCTCTTTAAAGAACAAAAAATAGATAATTTAATGGATGAGGTTTAATAACAACCATAGGAAGGGAAAGAAGAAGGAAATAATTCTTCCCCTTAACGTGAAATTGCAGATCAGTAGATTCCAGTCACTTCAGATGTCTGTGTTTGCTCGCTGTCTCTACCCACACTGATGAATAGCTTGAAGGAAACACTGGTTTACTCACAGGCAAAATACCAGAGGGAAACTTGAGTTGTATTTAAACATCAAGGGAGCGTCAGCAGACATGCTGTAAAATAAACATCTGGGAACACTGGAGGTTTTTTTTTAACATTGGTAGGTACACTTGGAAAAGGATTTTCTCCCATCATCAGAATCATCTGTCTAGGAAGGACATGTTCTCTAAAGCTTTTTCAAAGTTTTCTATCCAGAAGTAGTATGATTACAGTGATAAACTCAGAAGCTATTCCCACGCTGATAACAAGCTTTGCCAGTTAGGCCTTTGTGTACCTTTACTACTGCATAGTTATTATTGACTGCACAGATAATGGTGCTTTGGGAAGCTATGAAGATCACAACGTTGTTATAAAATCCAAGGGCAAGTAGGAGCTGTGTGCTTTTGACCTAAAGTAAAAATGTTCAAATTGTTTTGGATAAGGAACAAAATACCTCAGACCATAAGCTGACCTAGAAAAATTGAATTTAACATTTAAAAGCAAGGTCTAACTGTTTTGAGGTTCTAGGGATTGAAGCTATTGGTAATGATTACAGAACATTGCTGCCTGAACTATAGTTTCAGAGTAGTACTGGGACTTTACCAGCTTACAGTTTTCATCTTAGATCCTTGTTTCACAACGCTTATGATGCAAGCTTTGTTTTCCTGGAGCATATTCACAGTTTGCAACAGGTGAATCAAGACATTACAATGAAGATACAGTGGGTCACAGTTCCCACATTTTGTCCAGATGCCAGGGTGCCACGTGGCACTGAGTAGACCTTGGAAATTTGTATAAATGACTTTACTTTCATCACCATTAACATGAACTGTAAAACAGAGAGGCAGAAGTAGAAATGATAGTCTTTAAAAATGGGAATTGAAAGACCCTCTTGAGGACAGAATGTCATATAAGCCTATTGCATCTTTTCCCAATGCACTAAATGCACAATTGATGTGAGCAGTCCCTGTCTTTCTAGGAAAAGCAGCATGACCTATTGTTCCAGTTAATTTGGAAAAAGAATTAATTGTTTGAAAGCATTTTGACACTATGTTATTATATTTTTGCTTGCATTTCTGTAAGTCTTGATAACTTGATTTTACTTCACTTGACTGCAAAGTGCTGGCAACAGCTTTCACTGGTGGCAAATAGGACAACTTTGAGCCTCATGCTATAGGACGGGATTATGATGCTTTCTGGAGAGAGAAGGGTTATTGTATAGCTTGATACTGTAGGCAAACCTCACGAAGTGGCAAGAAAATTGCTTCTAGGAGTACTGAAATTCTAGAAACAGGAAGAAAAAGAGGGTAAATTTAATGGTCTGCTCATACCTGCATCATGTCCCAGTTTGTGGCAGATCTCTTTCCTTTCTGCATAGTAGAAGTGTATCAGCAACAGAAACTTCCTACACCCTTCCCTGCTCTGTGAGTCTCCTTGCCTGTAACACCATGCAGCCTGGTGGCCCAAAGCTCTCTTCCTGAGGGTGCAAACTCAAACTAAGAAACTTATTTTCATCTCAGAATTAAACAAAACAGAAAACAAACAAACAAAAAAACCTCTTTTGGTTTTGCTCTAGCACAACATGCCATTCTGGAGAATCTCTTGTCATGCTGACCTGGAAGCTCTTCGGCACGCCTTGGAACTTGAATATTTGTAGCAGACCCCAACATCTTAGCACTGTGAGGGCTTCACTCAAACTGTTACATCGGTTCCACCTATTCCTCAGCATTTTCTTGTTAAAAAAATCCCACAGCAACTGCAGTTTTTCTTTTTTTGAAGGAGAACCCTTTCAGTGGAAGCCTCTAAGAACTTGCAGCCAAAGAACATTCTATCGAGTCCTTCCTTTGAACAGAGGAAGAGCCTTCAGATAACTCTGGGGATCCTGCAGTTACATGCTTAAGCTGGGTGCATAGAGCTGTAACTGCCTGTGGCCATCAACGAGAGCCCCCAGAAGCCTTGGGTCTGCTTGTCAGTTTTCTTGCTTTTGAAAGGGGAAGAGGAAACACTCAAGACTGTGAGCGTACTCTGCGCATAATACATCATATCACGTTGGACCTTCTGCAAACAAGAGTGAAACTGTTGATTTTTTGTTCTGTTTGTATTTTCTTTTAATTTATGAACTAATCTCATTACTCTGGTATTAAGCTCTGTACCTGTGTTTTTAATCTGGCTTTTTGGGGTGGGTGGGTGGGGAAAGTCCTGCCATTCTAAATTAAGAATTCATTCTTCCAGGACAGTATCTGGAGAAAATCACATTGTGTACATTTATAAAAAGGACACATGGGACTGATGGTAAGAACCATAGCTGCATTTTTAAATCTGACATGGATGGTCTGTGGATTGTGCATGTGTCTACATCGTGCCTTATGCTGCCATCTCAGTTTGGGTGAGAAAAAAGTACCCTGTGATGAGTGAAAGGCATTAAATAAAAAAACAAAAAGTTCACATTTGGGGGACTAGATTACCTGCTTCTCTTCTCTCCAGCCACTTCTCTCCAGCACATCTAGCGGTGCATGGAATACACACTCCCTGTCTCAAGGCAGAGTTGGACTAGAAGTGCTCTGAGCACAGCCTGCCCTGTCCTGCTTGTTGGTGGGGCAAAGAGTGGCTCTGTCCTCTGAGAGAGAACACAGACATTCGGAACCAACTTGTCTTGCAAAAGAAGATACAGGGTAAACAAATATTGCAGGTGTGCGTATTTATTTTTATGTAAATGAATATATCTGCAAGCAAGCTTCAGCTTTAGGACTTCTGCTGAACTGCACAGTTAATTCCTGCTGTCAGAATATTTCAGCTCTTTGGGTTTGGTTAGGTCTCTGATTCGCATTCAAAACTACTCTCTCTTGCTTGCACCAAACAACCTCAGAAGGATCACAGCCTTATTGGAGCAAGATGTTAGGGGGAGAGAAGCAGAGGTAATACAACCTCCTTACCTATCGCGTGCATCGGGGTCGAGCATACAGGCATCATACAAGTTAAGAGACCTACGTGAGTGCTACACAAGTCTGAGATGAGACTCCTAAGTTCTACGAACACTTACATCAGGAAGCTGATTGATTGCTAGATCTGAGGGGATTTTCCACAGGACTGAGAGAGAGAATCTCACCTCAGGATTTGGCTCAAAAATTAGCAGCTATGCAGCACCTTTAAAATACATCAGCCACGTTTGTCAGCAGCAGGCACAAACAAAACCATCCTATAAGTGCATGCTGTGGAGGCATTTGCAAAAAATGCTCTTTAGGCTGAGTACAACACAAAGCAAATTACAGGGTGATTTCTCTAGCAAAGCTGTTGCTTGTCTCAGTGCCTGCCAAGAGGGAAATCCAGCAGAATTTCTCCCTTGAGCTTTTCCAGCTGCATGAATGTCCCAGGTAGGAAGTTCTATTACAAGTCAAAAGAATCAAACTCAATGGAGAACTGACAGATGCTGGCAAGACAAGCACACCAACAAATAAAGCCTCAGAAACAAATGCCAGGAATGGCAGACTTGTGAGAAAGCAAGACATCAGCTTTTAGCACCCTGTCAATCAGCTAATCGCTCTTGCTTGATATTCCAAATCTAACATCTGCCTTATTTGTGTCAAGAGCACTGATTTTTCCCCCTGGGGCTTCATAGATTTTGCTTTCTGGATGTATTTAGAGATTCTCCAGTCAAATGCTCTTGTTCCTACCTCCAGACTTCTTGGCAGGATTTGCTCTCAGTGCCTGCTGGCGCTCCACTTCCCATTACTGTAACTGAGTTCTCCGTATTTTCCCAGCTAATGATTTTCACTTACCCACAGTTAACAGCTGATCAGGGCCCTGCATGCCAGCATTAGGAGTGCCTGTTTGTCAGGCCGTGCCGCTCCCTGCCAGTGCCAGCAGCAGGTGTTGGTCTCTAAAGCAGCAGGATCAAGGTTCAGTGTTGCAGAGAATCTGATGGCAGGAAGGTATCTGTAATGGCTTTTTTACACATGAACACACGTGGAAAACACACACACACACACACACACACACACAGGCTTTGCTCAGCATTGTTACCTCCCTGTGAACACTTCCTTAACAGCTTTTCACTCACGAAATACACAAGGCCTGAGAACACACACACTTAGCTCAGCATTTTCACCTGTTTCAGTGTGTTTGCACACAAAGTCACAGCATAAAGCCCTTGCTCAGTCACATCATTAACCAGATCTGAAATAACAGAATACAATTTTGTCACATAACCACAGAACTGCCAAGAAAATTGTTGCAAAAATGTACTTCACTGCTGGGGATGGAAGAGCACGTTGTAATTATTTTACCAGTTTCCCGTACTGCATTTTTTCCTTGCAAGATCTCACGTTTAACCACAAGAGGGCAGCTGGGCTTCACCATAAGCCTCCTCTACGCAGCTGAGCAACAAACCCTGGTTTGGTGCAGTCCATCTCAGAACCCTGGAGTCGCTGCCATCTTACCCAGCGTGAGCTAAACAGTGCTTAGCATTTCACCATTTTCCTTAGGAGATACGACTGGACAGATGGAGCAAACATAGTGGAGCTGACAGACTGGACAATGAGCAAGCACAAGGGCAGTATAACAATAACTTACAAAAGGAAGGAGAACAGAAATCTCATAGTTTCCAAAATACCTCCAGTGGAGGTGCAGCCGTACGATTGCTTTTAAAAATTATCTTCTATAATTTACACAAAGCAAGAGTAATCATTCAGAAGGACTTTGGTGGCATGGCTCCATGTCTCTGTGTAAAGGACAGCAAAAAAAGCACATTTAGCAGGATGTGAATTAGCCTAGACTGAGCACACCTTGTGAACTGATCCAACGCTGCCAAGGAGGATGAGAGCCTTGGACTCTGGAAGGACTGCTATGGTAAGCTCCATCCACGCCATTTGGGGACGAAAGCACAGTCTCAGCATCCTGAATGCTGCATTAGCACATAGTTTCTGAACAGCGGAGGACTCCTGGAGCTGCATTAAAGCTAGGAAAATATTGCCACCTCTTGGTAAAGTTTTGGATTCAACTGGCACTGGTAACACCAGCATCAGTCTCCTCTTGAGTGAAGGCTCAAGTGAGAATGGAAGATCACAGTACAGAAATTTCTAAGCTCGTGCTCTAAGAAAAGATAAATGTTGTCCCTCAAACCAGAGAAACCAGCAGTAATGCACACACGTGCCTCTTAGGTTATAGCAGAAGATAGAAAACCCGAGGCGCACCCACAGCTTGCAGCTGATGGGTGAAGTTTTCCCAAGATAACACAAGACCCCAGAGGCTTCTCATTAGTCACACTGCACCCTGCCCCCAGCAGCTGAAGACCTAAAAATCAGCATCACCCCCTGCAGTCACCACAATCCAAGCAAAGCCCCTGAAGGCTGGATTCTGTCTTCAGTCCAGGACTGAGCAGCAAATCAGGAAGTGTACAGTCAGAACAAAGCAACGTTCCCAGCCCACGGGTTGTTCCCAAGCTCAGCTCCCAAGCAGAAGGGATGCACTCCACAGGACAGAGGTTATTCTATATACAAGTGAGATGGTCGTGGTAATTCAACTTACATTAAAGTAGGAGCCTGTCCTTTACGTTCATATCACATCAGTGTCATCTCCCCCCACGTCCAAGCCAGAAGCATATTCTTCCTTCACTTTCAGTTAAAATCCTCAGGGGAAAATAGATAAACAAAAACAATCAAACCCTCCCCCCCCCCCCCCCCCCAAAACAACAACAAAACAACAACAAACTTCACACCATAACCAGCTGAAATGGGAAAAACAAATGCAGTCACCAAGATATCTGAGACACCTGGATCTTGGCCTGATAACAACTCGTTGCTGGGATCTGGTCAGCCTCTACTCCAGGTGAAGGAAAAAACAATGCTTATTAAAATTTAAAAAGAAAAAAAATCACTGACAGAGGCTCCAGAAAGCACTGCTGTTTCCTATCACTCTTTTTGAATTGTTCATCTCCATTTTTCTTCCAAACACAGTGATGCGTTTCGGTGATAGAGCTCACAAGGTTATTCGTCCAGCATTCCAACTCCATTTCAAAACATCATTCCGAGCTTCCAATATTTGTGCTTCTCTTTAAACAGTAGCACTGAGAACATTAACTTCGTCTGCTTTATAAATGCATGCAACAAAGTACCAAAGGAGTAGGAACTTGAGGAGAGCCGCACAGCTTGATCTTACAAGGAACATTTCGTTCGTTCCCTGCTTCTTCTCCTAAGACACACAGCAGCCTTGCCACAGTTCGTGCCCTCTCGGAGGATCACAGCGCTGCTCGCCATGGAGCCCCATCTCAGCTCTCAGATGCGCTGAACAAGGCTGTGCACACCCGTCCTTTCCATCCAGCCCCAATGCAAAGGCAAGTCAGTGTTGCACAACGAGCCTCTTCCACTAACAAAAATCATACGTACAAAACTGCAGACTGAATGCAACTGGGAATCCAGGAACAGAGAACGCTTTTCTAAAACTGTTTAATAAAAAGCTGTGCAGTTTCTTGAAACACCGGAGAAACCCAAAGCATACCATGTGCCACTCTCAGTCACAAAGAAACACAATTTTCAAAAAAGATATTTAAGTTTAATACAAATTTTATACAAAGAAAATGTGAAAAAATACTTCCATATGCTAAAAGCAATTATGCTTCACAAATAAGGCCAGCTAGGCTATTTTTGACACAACTGCAATTCACGAATATTGTTCTCGCCTTTTGCTTCTAATACTTTTCCCTCTAATACGGGTTCTAGCTGGAGACTGTACAGACCGCATTCTTTTATAAACAATGGGAAAAATCAACATGACTGAAATGTACAACAGAATGTACTGGAATGATATCATACATTAATTTTCTCATATACATACATCACCTTTGCTTTGTTCAATGCTTTCGTTTTACACAACATACAAAATGGTACTACAGTATAAGTGTAACAGACAGCATTTTCAGGGGTTACTTTCTCTCATACTGTTTCATGCTTACATAAAAACATAAATTCCATCATATAAATAATACATGCTCTGGCCCAGCATCAGAAGTCCTTTGCCCATGTTTCCTGATCCATGCTTTTCTCCACCCCCTAGCTCTTGTTCCACGTGAAAAGCTTTTCATAGTCCTTTTCAGAGGATTCAAATTAAAAAAAAAAAAAAGGAAGAAAATTGAACTGTGAAGAACAGGAAAAACAACCCTCATCTGTGCTATCAACGATAAGAAGCGATGCTGCCCTACCCAACAAGCCGGTGTTACACTTGGCAACTGTTCAGATACCAATCTGAATAAAGTTTTAACTTGTTTCTTGTAAACAATTTTAACAGTCTGGTCACTGTAAAAAACAACGTAAATCTTTATATATCTCAGGTCCGCAGATGGGAAATGCCATAATTGGCCTAATGCAATTAACAGAAAGAAAGATAGCCTTCATCATTTGGTTGAAATTCTACAAGAGTTTCAAAGTGCAGAAATTGTTCCCATCCAAAAGCAAATGGAGTTGTTCAGATCCTTCAGGTTTTATTATTTGATGCATTACTGCCATTTTCTCAGACCAGTTTTCAGCGTTAGCTTGTGATAAGGCTGCTTTAAACCTTTCCTTTCCAACTTCAAACACTCTTTATAAGTTAAAGTCAATACAAATATAAAAAGGAGATGGTACTCTAACTTTAATGACATCCACAAATTGTACATTATTTACAAAAGAGGCAGAGATTTGACACGGATCTTACCTGTCCTCAGCTTTTCTAAGCCAGCGCTAATGCTTTACATTAATGTAGTGTAGTTAATGCTTTGTGCATTTATACAAAGCTTAAGTCTGAACCTTTGAGGTTAATCCAAAGAACTGTGTTTATTTTTCACATTTCTATTAGATTTATATATTCCAACAATTGTATGGACTTCTTGTTAGCAGTTAGACTCTTCGTACTTGGACTGGCATTGTGGTCTGAACATACTGAACTCCAGTTCTCATTGCCACTGTCCCAGCAGAAGGACTTACCACTACAGGAATGGTCTGTGGATTAAAACCAAGAGAAACATATTGTTATGTTAAAGGTCATATCAGCATGACCACAGAAACAGAGATTTATTGTCCAGGGAAAATCCAGAACAAGCTCCAATTTTGTGCAAGGATTTATACCTTAATTACCAAAATATTACCAAGGCAGAAAGTAGTATATTACTTTCCTGTAGCCAAGAGGGTTTTTTGTTTTTTTTTTTCTCTGTAATTGTTACTTTATAATTACTGGGACCAGCTGTTCCTATAGGTAACGTGCATGCTCTACCTATGCTTGGAGAATTAGGTTTTCAAAGCTCCTACATCCAGTTATGTATTTTCCCCAAATAAATTCACAGGAAGAGGAAAAAGGGCTAAGAAAATCCTCTGTCATTTGAAAAAGTTCCAACAAATCAACCTGGAGTACAAAAATACCCTTGTTTATAAGCATATCCCTTACGTCTTCCCCCCCACCCCTCAAAGGAACTCCCCCATGCGTTCAGTCTACACAGAAGAGAACAGAGAACATCCATTTAAACAAAAAGGTTCTTAAACTTTTGCACAAATTGGTAACAAAAACGCCAGCATTACTGGGAATTGTCTTACACTGCCTGTAAAAATACTAATATAGAATAAACTTTTCACTTCCATCATACAGATTATGATCTATAAATCTTAACAAATGAAGTTTCAGGACATCTCTATGGGTAGAAATGGGTTCTACGGATGCAGAGACAAAGGCACAAGAATGTTAAACAATCTGGTCAACGTCACGTCACTCTGGAACATCCGGAAAAGGATTTATTGAATCTTAAGTCTGTATCTTAACCTTCCTACAAAAACGTGAGAAAGCTTAGAAACGTTTATGCCACACAAACTGCAAGTGTGTTTTGATACAACGCCAGCGATGGCCAACTGGTGACCCAACAGATGCATCCATTTCAGCTCACAACGTTTTGTGGAAGAAACAAGGAGTGAGAATTTGAGAAATGTGGAAGGGACTCCCAGGACTCCCCCTAAGGTTACTGTAGGCTTCCAAAGCAAACGTGGAAGAACAACACACAACTTCACCGGAGCCCTGTGTTTCCCCCCATAAATTTAAGAAACCACATCAGTGCCTTGATGGTATTCAGGAAAGACTGAGAGTGTCCCTGCTGAGATGGATTACAGCCTAGTGTTGGTCAGCTCCTTTGTGACAAAATCTGTGCCTTCCAGAAGCCTACTGATTCCATTCCCTGGAATGCAAAGATGATGAATTTAAATGTTTACGACATTTCAACTGCAGAAAGAATAAAAACCAAATGTGAAATCAGTTCTCTGAATAAGTTCAAGGTTAAAGTCATTTGATAATGGTTTCAGAGGTGTAAAGAGGGTTCAGTGGAAACGGCACCCAGAAGATACACTGAAAGCTGTGCAGAGGGAGGAAATGCCTAGTGCGAAACAAAGTGCAAATTGAACTCTAAAGAAGCCACTGTGTACATCACTGTTAGCACTACAGGTAGGAAAATTAAGGTTGCCACAGCTGTCTTTTACATGTACACACTTACACAAATGAGAAAATTAAGTTTCAGTTATTAGAGTGATCGGGATATGGAATGTGCAAGACTCCTTAAATGCGTTAGGATCATTCCCTGAGAGGTAAATCTTCCACCTCTGCCAGCTTTTCACATTTGTACATTTTGCATACATATTAAACATGCATTAAGGTTTAAAATTATTTAAATTGCACGTGCAGTCATTAGAGTACAGAGGTGTCTGTAGCTGTGCAAGGCTAATGCAAATGTGTACAACGTTTCAAACATGCACAAATAAAGGTTGAAACCTTCAGACGTTCCACTTACGCTTCACATTACTCAACACTTTGTATAACAGAAAACTGATGAAGGTTACTGCCGTTATTCTGAATGTTACATGAAACCACCTTATGATCTTAGAACCTCTCAACTATGCACGAGAGAGCCTAACTTCTTTGAAGCTTGCTATTTGATTGCAAACACACAAAGCCTTGTTACGACAATTCAGTTCAAACGACTTAGGGCCAATCCTGCAAAGGTGCACTGTGCTCTCAGTCGAGACAAACGAGTTGAGTACAAATGCTTAGGAATGTGACAAGTCATGATATCCACTACAAGCAGTACATTTTTTCTGTCGAATGTGATGGCTATGAAACACTGCAGTGTGTGTGGAGGTGCATGCATTCCTGCACACAGGTGTGTGAACGTTGCAGCTGGTGGGGGTGCACGCACGTCCATGTGTGTAAACAAAGCAAAAGGAGGACAGTGACTGAGCTGATTGGGCCTCACAGTCACAACATCAAAACTGAACTGCTATTATCTAGCTTCAGTAAGAAAATTAACTGTAGTGACCTAAACATGGGCTGCTCAGCTGAGCCCACCGCTCGAGACAAGGCATGCGGGTCAGCTACCAGTGCAGCATCAGCAATTTTCTTTTTGGTAAGAGGTCAGCTCAGGTGCCACGCTGACAGTGAAGCGAACACTGCAGAACATGAATGAACATCACACTGAAAGAATGTGATATTATGGTATGCAAAATAAAGAAAACAAACCTCACTGCCGTCCCATCTCCAGTGACTGATAAAAGGGCATTCAAGTGTCCTTGGTTAAGTTTTCAATGGAAAAAAACAGGTCTGAATTCAATGCTATTTCTCAGTTTCACGCTAGTGTGCAAGACTGCATGGGAGATACACTACTGATGAATGCATACTTTTCTTTCATAGTTACTGAGATGCCACGGAAATATCAAGCATAGCTGAGAACTCATTGAATCTCTTTAGAATACCATAGACAAAAAAGATATTTAAAAGATACTTTAAATGAATTCTATATATTTACATTGACGTTGTGTTCAAGTATATACATGAAACAGAAATAACTAACACAATAATGTAAAATGGAAGTCTGACTAGCCTCAGTGCCTTAGCTGTTCTTAAGGAGGGCTCCTGAATCCTTGTAACAATCAGTGATGAAATGGAAGGGTGGAATGTTGCACAGCAAAATAGGACATTTTGCACTGCAAACTGAAACTACACCAGTGAATTCATATCTTAATTAGAACAGCAAATGGAGACAATCCCCCAGAAATACTGTGCAATTTTAATGCCAGGAACAGCACTACTGCAGACTTTAAATGATGACATCGTACTTACAATTGAGGGTTGAGTAGTTGGAATATAGGTGGTGCTCTGCGGTACCTGGACCAGTTTTATAGGCTGGTTGCTTGTCACACCTGTTGCTATCTGCAGAGACAGCACAGGCAACCTCAGTAAAAGTCTCAGCTTTTACATGAATTCCACCTAGTCATTACCATTACTGTATGAAATTTATGTTGGATGTTTTGTTTGTGCTAAAAATTTGTATCTTAATGAATTCACAGGTTAATTCTTTGTTTATAAAACAAAATTCAAATTATGAACATGATCAATGTACACAGCATGATGTTTCAGGTAGAATACCTATGTGAAAGCAATTCCAGATTAGGATAACTGGAATATTCCCTGGCCAAAGTTTTAGGCAATTGATTTTCTCTGATCCCCTTTTCTCCCAGTAGTACAAAGGTCACACTGCCACAGACAATACATACGAGCTTCAACTGAGCAAAGAAGTTCAAAGAACTTCCCCCCAGAATCCAGGTGGGACAGCACATCCTTTACCCCTTCTTTTAATCTGTTTCCCAAGTTACTCCCTTAGATGACATGTCAAGCCCAGAGATCTAACACCAGACAGTAGCAAAAGTGTCAAGAAATGAACACAGCTCTCTATTATACTATGCTTCCCAATTCTAGAAGAACTATCTCAATGAGACATCATGCTGGAATCACAATACTACAAAATTAGTTTGCTTTTAATATTTTAAAATACAACAAGGCTCCTACTGATGTAGAGGATCAAGTAAAGGGTCTGAAGGAGAAGCCCCCCATAAAATTTTTCATTTAACAAATCTTGCATGGGCAGAAGAAAAATGGTGCTGAAATTGCTAATAGTCAAGCCCTACCTATAAAGCAGAATCTTCTCTATAAACATTTTCTATATATGCAATGTTAAGTCCCTTTTATTGGAGCGTTTGCTCATCCTTGCCTACTGAATACTATCAGAGTAGATGATATGGAGGATTTCAGAATTGTACACTGCTTCGTTAGCTGTAGATCCAGGTGGATTGCTGTATCAGTGTTATGGAACATTGTGGTACCCTAGTGGCAGTCTGTTGTGATAAAGTAAGTTGATTTGAATGCAGGTCTTGAGCTTGGCCTCTGAACCCCCAGGTAAGAAGGGCTTGGAAGTGCTGCAGTCAGTATTGCTTATCAGAAGGCAACTTGTATCGAAAGATCCAGACCAGAAGCTACACTGATGGGTCCTGGAGAGAGAGAAAGAGAGAGGTCCAGTCCCCCTTGGCTGGAAGGATGAGTCAAGCCAACACAAGGTCTTATTGGGAATGAGTGCAGGGGAAAGGGTATTCCCAGAGGACAGAAGGAGATTTTTCCCAAGATGAAGGGGGAAAAAAACAAACAAAGAGCCACAACTCTCTTACTCCCCAAATCACACATTTTGAAATATACAAACGGCCATAAATTCCCAGCTGATCCAGGGAGGCCTTTAGGGGTAGGTTTCAGAGGACTCTAGTTTTGAAGTGGTTTGCAGTGACCACAGCAATACTCACTGTAACGCTTTCTTTGCTTTTATCAGTTGAAACGTCCTTTTCCTTGGGGGTGCTGGCTGTTTCCGTGGGCGTAGGCTGCACACTTGAACTGGGCTGGGATGATTTATTTAATGTTTCTGTGTTAATTTCAGTATCGGCTTCTTGCTGTGTTGCAGTAGCTAAAGAAAAAGAAGAAAGCAGAGCCACTACTCTTGTGCACCAGTCTTCAATCTTAACAGGCATATCTGCATACGTGCAAATGAAGAACACTGAATCTCTGTGTGTTACATCCACCCCAGCTCCCCTTAGCTGTGAAACATGCAACCCAGAGCAAGATTACCTGACTGCGTGCAAGATTTCATATGCTCAGGCCAGTGAGCTTGTTGGCAGGGATAGTCACAGTAGCTAGTGTTCCAACAGCAATAAAAAATGGCCTCTTTCTTGCAGTTGGCACACCACTGCTTCTTTTTAGTTTCATCCACTGCTTGCTGCTTTTCCATTTCCAGCTGCTTCTTCACTTCAGCAATCAAGCGATCCCGTTCTTGTTCTAGACTCTGACGCATTTCAGCCATTGTCAGTTCTACTCAAAATACAAAGATAAATAAATTTTGCCTCTCCGTGAAATGAAAGCTAATAAAATATTCCCTAAACTTAGGTGTATCTGCTTCACACCCTCTCAGCAAATGACAGTCTTCCAACCTCTCTAAGTTTAAAGAGGCTGCTCATTACCACACTCCATGATGCTGGGCACAGAGGTGAAAATGACTGGCCTGCAGCAATCCAGCTCTTCTTTTTTCCCTTTTAAAAAAATAAATGGCAGTTGTGTTTTCCCTTTTGCAGTCTATCAGAACTTCCCTGCCACAGTTTCTCTATGATACAGGCAGAGGCTTAGCAACTTAATCTGCCAGTTTCCTCAGTACCTCCAGAAGCACCTCACCAGGTCCCCTGAGCGCCATCAGGTATTTCAGAAGGTCTCAAATCTGGGTAATGCCCTACATTCTCCCAGTTCCTGCCTTTGGATTCTGTGCGTATCCTACCTGCTAACTTCCTTCGGTCAACCACGTGGGTAACCTTGTCATAAAACAACATTAATTTAAGCAGGATTTTCCCATTGTGTGAACCCATGCTGGCAACAACCAATAACTGCACTGCCTTTCAAAGTGTTTTTCAGCAACTCCAAGAATAACCTTCTATGTAACTTCATCAGGAAACGAAGACAGACCAACAGGCCTGTAGTTACCAGGGTCTTCTTTTTTACCCTTCTTGAAAACTGGAGCAACATTTGCCAGCTACATACTCCATTAGTATGAAGTAATCAGCATAAAATACCTCCCAAAGAGATTATCCAGTGGTGCATTTAATAAAAAAAAAAAACAAAAAAAACCAGTTACATTCAATCAAAAATCTCTGTAGCCTGGATTTCTTTCAGAGGACTGAAACCTGTTGCTTACTATGCACACATAAAAGTCATCTGTGTACGGATTGAAATGGTACCCACTGATACTGGCAGCACATTCTACAAGGTGTTCTACCCTTCATGTGGACAATCTCTGGTAGCTAACATGAAGACAATGCATGCTACAAGCATTTAGATTTTGTATTTGCCATTTTCATACCCAGATTATGCTTCATTTCTGAGAGTTCCTGCTGATGTAACCACTGAAGCTTTTCTATTTCAATCCTCAAACGTCGAATCTGGATATTACAAATATTGAAATGTTAATATTTAGTTGTGATGACAGAGTACAGTATATAGCACAACTATGTACAAAAATACAAGGCTCTAACAAAGAGCTTCATCATCACTTACATTAAGGCTCCTTTTCAATAACATGGGCAATAGGTATTCTGTTTTCTTGGTAGGTTTTCCTATCATAAAAAGTGCAAGATCGTTTGAAAACAAAACCCACTTCAATTAAACTTGGTCTTCCATCTAGAATTAGTTAGGTCTCCAATTTCTCCAACCACAACAAAAATCTGTTTCTCAGTTTTGCTTGTATTTGTTTGCGTGCCACTTGATGGATTCTTTTATTTCAACGCACCCAGACTTACAAAAGTGGGTTTTTCATTCACTAGGAACACCACTGCTCTAAACTGCAGCTTCCTTCTTATGTTTAACACAAACAAACAAAAGATTTCACACTTAACTCTGAGCTTTCTCTTGCTCACGTTTCACATTCATTCATAGTTTACTTTGTTTAATCTGGTTTTGCCAGCTTTAAAGAAAACACTTTAAAAAGACACCAAGTACTGCCTTGACAGTGAATGCAACATTTAGCAGGAAGACACTTTTATTGGTGCTCTGTAGTAAAAACAGTGATAATATGACCAGCAAACTAAAAAAGAAGTATTACATCTATGGTCATAATCATGTAACTCTGATGCAGTATGTGATTGCATTATGACAGCATGTGGTATTTTTATGCATAAAACACTCTTTTACAACTTGTGAAGGTGAAGCAGGCTTCTCTCCATCTTGCACTAACCTCAGCTATTGTACTTCCAGTGGTATTTTTTGAAAGATCATTGTATATTTCAGTCATTGTTCCTTTGATGGCATCCATCATCTGAAAGACAAATAAAAGTCTTAGATACCTATTTTTAACAGATAACCACTTTAACTTCATTTCAGTCACTCCAATGTGAGCCTGTATTGCTATTAGTATCTATGTGCATATACACACGTTTATCCGAGTCTCCTTTTGAAGTACTGTTTTAGAAGGTACAAGAAAGCACTTTCTGCCAGGATTCTGTTGTTTTCAAGTGCTTTTAATGTCTGCATACTTATTTATAGTACTCTCTTTTTTGTTTGTCTTAATTCAAAGACCTAAGAGAATATACCAAAAGCTGATCTCCCTCACTCCACCATCACCTTTATAATATTACAAGTACTGCATCATCTGTTTAACAACTAAGCTTCAGTTTTAATACTTGAATGCACACTTAGGACAGGTTACAATCTGATGAAGCTTTGCAGAGTTTTAAAACAGTTGCATCTGAGTGCGTTGTACCGAATGCACGTGATGATTATTAGTGCTTACTGTAAATATATGGTGAGGAGATACCAAAAATTGTCCAAAGCGCAATGCAACGTGACCAAAAGAAGTGATGGGGAAATAAGGGCGAGACAAAGCGGGGGTGCCTGCCGTGCTTAGCCTCTGGCTTAGAATGACAGCATTCAGCTGCTTCTACAACAATAGCTCAGATCCCAGCAGTCTGACTGCTTCTACCTACTGCTTGTTACTTTCTACATAAGATCTTTTATTTCAGAATTTGAAATTTTAAAAAACTTTAAAATTCATCACAAAAATAAGTTTAAGAAGATCTTTTTCAAGGACTTACTTTGCTAGTGTATTTAGCAATGTCTGCAGCCACGTCAGCCGAGGCTGTTGCGATTGGCAAGTCTGTATTAACTGAGGAAGAAAGTGTATTTGCAGATCCAGAACTTGTAACCATAGAGATAGGTTGAGTGCTTGTAACCAAAGTTATAGTTGATGTGGAAGTGCTCTGGGTGATCTCTTTCTGCTGCACAGCTACGGAAAGAACACACAGCAGACCATTAATCACAAGTAATTATGAAGATGAATAGGTAACTCGTAACTTTAATGTTCACTAAATGTGTGCACCTCAACAATCTCAAGATTTTTCTTACTTATACAAAGGTGCCATTCATCAAATTGATTGTACAGTGACCAGCCACTGAACTCACATATAATTACACAGCTTCAAGACAAGATAGCAAAGACCTTCAAAACCTGCAAGTTTAGACTGGTCAGTGCAAAAGTCTCCCTCTGATCATCGTTCTTCCCATTCTGGGACTTTCCCATCCCATCTCCTAACCTCTCCGCTTGGACAGCCCCCAGCTAGCACCACAGGTACGAGCACAAGCCTGTCTTGAACATTTTCACTTGCCACCATCTGAAAGTACATTACTGACTTTGTTCCTTTAGAAACAAGATTTAGTGAGCTACTTTTGAAGAGAGCTTTAGTAAGAATTTTAGTTGTACTTCCTGGTGTTATTTGCATTCGTTTGCTATTAGTGCTACTAATTATTGTTAGTTTTGTGTTGCGACATGTTTAATGTAATACATCCAGCCCAAACTCAGCCTCTGGATGGAGAGCAAGGAATGTAATGCAAGGTTAACTCATTAAAGCAAAGAATTTATTTATAGAATTAACTCAAGTGGGATGAAAGTCAGTAAACAGGAAGGCTTTGTCAAACGTGCTCAATATTTCAAATAATCTTAAAACAGTTGGTAATTCAAAAATAAGAGTACAAATCAAAACATGAAGAGCTTCACCTTTCCATCCCTAATGACTTACCTGCCTTAGTTTTCAATTTAATTTTAACAATTCACTTTGTAAAGATCTCAGTTGATGGTATCCTCTAAAGGCTGAAATATTACTGAAATAAAACAGTTCTTAAATTTAACTTTGTACTATTTAACATCAATTCAGAATATAAGAAAATCTGTATATTCTAGAGCGTTTTCATCTGATATTTCTAGCATATCATATGACAGAACATTGTTACAATGCACTCAATAGTAAAAATGTTGATTTAACCTGTGGGGGGGAAAAAAAAAAAAAAGCCTGTACAAATCAGCTTCTTGGCAAATAAAATTGGATCCAGATTGTAGATGTTGAGATAACAATGGTAATCATGCAACTGAAACAGAATTAACGATTTCATCATGTAAAGCAGAAAATAATCAGTTTAGTCTTTCAAAACTGATGGCTAAGAACGGCAAAGATATTTTACAGACACACAAATGGTTTGTCATTCAAATAAGGAGACATGACTAAATACACACCAGAAAGAGCAGGTATGGTGAGTTGCTGTATTTCACAGTCATTTATAAAAGAAGAACCACACTTTGAGATTTTGTTTATATGGAAGAAATTCCTGGTTAGGCAGCCTGGGAGCACTGACATCACTACTGGGGGATTATGGCATCACGGGCACATTGAGTTAGAAAGTGTATACCTTTAACTGCTTGTCTTGTCTGATATCTTGTCCCTTGAGAGGATTGAGGCTGCTGTGACTGAGACTGCTGGTTCTGCTGCTGTTGCTGCTGTCTCTGCACCTTCTGCATGTGCCATTTCTGAGAAGATGTCTGAAATTTATTGGAAGAATTCCACACTACTCGCTGCACAGCAGGGGCAGTTTCCTTAGGCAGCAGAGGCCGCTGCTTTTTCACAGGGCTTCCAGTGGCTGCAGATGGAGCACTAACAGTAGAAGTAGCACTAGTAGTTGCAGTCACACCAGCTGGTGGAGTCTGGGACGCAGAGCGGGTGAGAACTGGGGTTTCTGGCAGGGGCTGGGTGCTTGCACTGGAAGAAGGTGGAGTTTTACCTACAACTAAACAAAATTTATTGTCAACTTTTCACCACCACATCTGATCCATAATTTCACATCAAATTTTGAAAAGTCACGTGCACCTTCCAGAACAGAAATTGTCACGAATTAGAACAGAATCATAGATCCATCACAGTCGGAAAAGATCTTCACGATCACCAGGTCCGACCGCCAACCCAACCTACTGTGTTCCATCACCAGTGAAGTGATGGAACTCCAGTGGACTCCACCACTTCCCCAGGAATCCCATTTCAATGCCTGACCACTCCCCCACCCACGATTAAATTCTTTCTTACATCCAGTCTGAATCTCCACTGCTGAAAATGAGACTGTTTGCTTGAGTCCTATGGAGTGAGAAAAGAGACTGACACCTTCCTCATTGCAATTTCCTTTCAGGTAATGGCAGAGAGCCACCTCCTCTTTCCTAGATGAAACAATCCCAGTTCCCTCAGCCACTCCTCATAACTCCTGTTTTCTGTGTCGTTTCCTCTTACCAGTGCTGTTGTTCTTCTCTGCACACACTCGAACAACTCAAAATCCTCCTCATAGCGGGGGTCCCAAAGCCAAACACAATGTTCAGGGCATGGTCTCATCAATACAAGGGGACCACTAAGTCCCTTGCCCTGCTGGCCATACGAGTTCTCATGCAGCCCAGGATGCCACTGGCCCTCACCAGTATCACCTGGGCACGCTGCTGGCTCATGTGCAGCCAGCTGTCAGCCAGCATCGTCAGGTCCTTTTCTGCCTGGCACCTTTCCAGGCATTTCTCCCCATGCCTGTAGCACCGTGTGGTGCTGTTGTAACCCAAGTGCAGCACCTGACATTTAGACTTGTTGAATGTCATGGGCTTGGCCCATCAGTCCGGCCCATCGGGATCCTTCTGCAGAGCCTTCCCACTCTCAAGCAGACCCACCTGATGTGGTATGGTCCACAACTTACTGGTGATCGATTGTCAGCTGGGCTGAGCTTCCCCCACCAGGCCTCTCTGACCCCAGCCAGCCAGCTCTTCACCCAGCAAACTGCACCTCCCTAGGACACAAGCAGCCGGCTTCTCTGGGACAGCACTGGGGAAGGCAGTGTCAAGCACTTTACTAAAACCTAAGTGAACAACATCCACAGCCCTTCCCTCAGTTACAAAGCAGCCATCATGTCACAGACATAAACCATGTTAATCAAGTCTTTCATAACCCATCCTGGCTGCTTGTAAACAAAAAGACTTCCCTGGAAGAACAAGAAGTTACCATTTGTTACGATGTTTCTAGGTTACCAGTTATACCTGTCATCCCAGAGCTTATAGATGACTGTTCTGTGTATCCCATTCTCTCGCTATACAGCCTGACAGTGAAACATCAGCATTGATCAAGGAACTGTCTTCACTGGGATGATAATCCTCCTCCCCTTAAGGTTTAGAGCTCTTTCTCCCTCTTGCAAAAGCAAAAAAGCTCCCATCCTCCTTAAAGCATTTAATTGGAACTCATGCAATTTGTATCTCTGAAAAATTCTAGTGCTTATACAGCTGCGGTTTTGGGACATCCATGGAAATGTATTTATGTTTGACTGGTGGCTGAAGCAGAACCAAATTTCTAAATTTGTGACAGAACAAATGTGCGTTCATAATTTTATGTTGCTGAAAGTAATTTCAATGAAATATTTTTTTTTGTTTTTAAACTGAATGCAGAAATTATAGAACTGAAAATATTGCTTACTCATCAAGAATGAAAAATCATTCATAAACATTGCTCTAGTACATATATTTTTACCATCTTAAATGCAAAGATAGAGCTCACAGCTTTGGCTTGAACAACAGTACAATGATAAAGGACAAATAAGAATTTCATCCTACCATCTTGTTTAGGAGGAGGCTCTTTTGACTCTTTCTTGTTTTTCCGTCCTTCACGCCCGCAGTGATCATCGCCCAGATCGATGACAAGTTCGCTCTCAGAATCAGAGTCCAGTCCCAGATGCACTGTTGGAGAGTCCATCTCATCTTTACCTTTCAGTTTTTCTTTTGCAGGATGCTGCAAACTTTTTCCCTTTTCAGAAAACTCTTTTTCAGTGTCTGTAATTGCCTTTTCTTTGACTGGGTCATCTGCTTTCTCCACTTCTGGACTTGTGCTTTTAAGTTCTTCCTTATCTTCATTCTGTGCTGGGGGCTTAGGTTTTTTTTTCAAGCTTAATGATTCTTTGTCACTTCTTGTACCTTCCTTATCCTCTCCATCTTCTTGATCATTCTTAGATTTCTGATCCTCATCACTATATTCACTGTCACTGGTGTCAGATTTTTCAGAATCTTCAGAGTCACTGTGTTCTACTGCAGTATAAACAGCTTCAGATATTTCATTTATTCCTAAATGTGGGGAGGAAAGTACAGTCCATGCTAATATCAGACTGGCTGGTATTACCAAAGAGAAAAGAAAAAAAACAAAACCCCAAACCCGGCCCTTTGTAGAACAAAATAGAGAGGTACCACTACCTTAGCTGTCAATCCTTAAGCTATAAGCATCTCTCTTACAGCCCTATCGCAGTATCACGAGTGAGAATTACCTTCCATACTCCTTATTTTTATTTGATTCAACAGCCCTCCTTTCACACTATTTTTTCACTACCTGCAAGCTATAGATCTGTTCAATGTTGGGCCGACACTGGCAAATATTAACAGGAATGATTAGTAACTACAAGAAACCACCTTAAAATCAGTAACACTATTCAACTGACCACAGTTATTTCTATGCATGTTTGAAGAATCAGTTTCAGACTGCATAACTTTTGTAAGGAGAATCTGTACTTTTTTAACCTTCAATTAACTGCTGGATTGTTAATGCTTTTCAACAGTAGGGAGTGCCCTCATCACTGGATATACACATCCGTGCAGCAAACATAAAAGTCAGGCACAGATCTTTGGTTTTTCAGTGTACAAAGCAAATAGTAAGACTACAGTTCTGCCAAACCATCTACGTCAGAATGGTGCAAAAACAGATCACAAGATGAAAGCTTTATGGCAAATATCAGACATGTCAGCTTTCGCCAGAGTTTAAGTTAGACGTGTTCAGTTCTATTTGCCTCTAAGAGCTCAAATAGCCTCTACTCCTGTTTTAATGAAAAAAATTAAAGTTTCAATATTTGAAAATGCTTTTTTTGTTTTTAGACTCCAACTCAACATTTTCTCAAATTCATCCTCCAGGCTTCCACTGCATTCTTGGGATACTCACCAAGTTGTGCTTTACAACTCTCTATTGTCTTGTCAAGATTAAGCTGGAACCTACTACGTATCTGTCGTTTTGGTGAAATGAGTGGCACAGGAGTGGACTGCTGTTGGACTGACTCACTCAGCTCTTTCAGATCCATCTCAGCTTTGCTTCGATCTAGAAAAGGAATTAAAAAAAAAAATGTACAAAAAGAAGAATGTGAGGCAAACCTTACTGAGTAACAGTGCAGACAATCCGAAGTGTGAAAAACGGAGACAAGAGACACTACAACACCTCCCCAGGGCATCCTGAATCTTAACATGGAAATAGTCTCACAATCCAAATTTATCTGCCCAGCCCACGAGGGGGGTCTCACTGAGAAGATCTGAGTTTCCAGTTTGCCTTGTTGACGCTGCAGAAAGAAAACAGAGCCAGAGGGCAGGCAAACCCCTGAGGAGAAATCTTCAAATTCTCATCTCTAGTCTTTACTGTTTCTTATCATCCATCTTAAGAATTTCATTCCTTACCGCATGAAAGTTTTCTGTCTTTTCTGTCTCCATTTCACAAGGACAGGCCCTGTACACATATATTTTTCCAAGCAATCTGTGTGTAGCTTGGTCATTCACACTTCCACTTTTCACTTTAGCCAGTCTACCAGCAACAGCTGGTGGCTCCTTTTCACTATTTCCCCTTCCTCCTTGCTGAACTGGAGGATCACAGCCCTTCTAGTACTCTGCTTAAGGTACAAGTTTTTGTTTTGCATATTTTCACTTTTGCTTTTTAGGGGAATCCCTTTTCACACTGCGCTTGAAAATAAGACACCACAAGTCATGTCTGAAATCCACGGGTTTTGTAGATGGAATCATGTTTAATGCAGCTGCCACTTTCATTTCTAGCATCAAACAGCATATTTAGGAAAAGAAATCCCCCTAAAGCTGAATAAATGATTGATATTCTACCAGAAAGCACAGTTCTGTTCTGTTACAGTATTGCTCACGAGCCATAACATTGGTTTTTCAGTTCTACCCCATTTATTCAGAATGTTCTATGCTCAAGCTAATGCCTCCCATCCATGGCTCAAACAGTTCCCATATGATGTTTCTTTTTGTGTTTGTTTTTCTTTTTTATAATGCATTGTTACATCTGATAAAAAAGACAAACAGCTGTGGTGCAGCACAAGTAATTCCATGGTTATATCACAAGCACAGACTAACACTGAAAAGTATGGTATGTCTAAAAGAATGCAGAACTTGATCTCAGCCTTCCTGAAGTATTTGGTGAAGACCGGGAAAAATTCTGTCACTCCATGTAACATCAAGTGGACGGAAAATATAACCAGAACTGAATCAGAATATCTGTAGAAGCAAAATATGATTGGGGAAATTGATTTACATCTGTTTGGCTTTCAGAACTGCCTTACCAAAGCAGTACTTTCCTAATTCATCTCTTAATCTCAGTATCTCCCTTGATACAGATGGTCAGTGAAGAAGAGACATGAAGTTTGCAAGACCACAAGACAAGTGAAAACTTCATCAGCAGTTCATGTAATTATAAGCTTTACAAACTTACCTACTGCTTAGAAACACTTATTTGTACAATTCAGCTATGAAATCACCCATTAAAAACTTATTTTGATCAAAAAGAAGAAAAAGCAACAGGAACTTTCAATTCCACTTACAAAACATCAAACATCTTATTTGATGAAACAACAATTACACAAAGCCACACTTAAAGTTCTCTGTTCATTTAAATCTACCTAGAAGTAAGTTTGTTCACGTTATTTTGGCACCCCCATGATTTATCCAGCTATAACATACTGGGACTTCTGAAAGTCAACACTAACCAAGGTTCAGATTCAGAATGCTTCCTGGAGTGGCAGTTCTTTCTTGCTTAGCAGAAATTGGCGTTGACGATTGAGGAGAGAAGGGTTTGGGACTGCCTGACAAGCTCCCTGCTTGACCTGTTCTCGTTGGTGCAGGGGAAGCTGAAAAAAGTACAAAATTAATAAGGATGGATTTAATAAAAATCACAGTAAAGCCATATTTGCTGCGCCAAAACAGCTTTTCAACTTATAAAAGCAGAGAAAAGGTTTTTGTTTAATCATTTAAATATTATTCTATACCTCCACTGCTAACTTTCAAATACCTTTAGACTTTAGTTTAATAAAAGAAGAAATTGTAAGGAAAATCACACTACCATGATTTATTTCATTACACCAAATGCACGTTTACCCTGAAAACCTCTCTGTTTTCAAGATTCTAGCTTTCGAGATTTGGTTATTTTAAATGTGAACTCTAGACTCTGAATTGCCATTATTTTACTGCATGTATGCAGGTAAACATTAACAAAAAAGTCCAGCCATTTTGTAGAGATGTTAATAGAGAATTGAAAGAAATCATATTAAGGTCAGTCAGTGCAGCTGGAGATCAGTGACAAAAATCCCTCAGATAAGGCAGTAGGATATTCTAATTTTACACAGTTAAGCAAAAGTCTGTGCTCTGATCCTCCAAAACATCCAGAGTCACATTTCAAACATGAACTTCAGGAAGCTCCCAGTCAGTCTACAGAAGGAAGCTTTCGTAGGCCATAACCTGAAAAAAACCTCTGATTTCTGACAGCAAGTGCTGTGCATTAAACTCCTGTTTAACGTTCTGACAAGTTACCCTGAAGTCATAGCTGAACACTGCATCTGACAGCTACAATTCATTTGCTACATCCCAGGACAAGGTTGCAAGTTATTTCCAAGTTATTTCCTTCGTATCACTCCAAATGCACAACAGAACCATCCATTCCATCTGAATAAAAGCATTCCTATCTAAAGACAGTGCAGTCATCCTACCTGGAATTTTCTTTTACAATAAACAAAGTTAGTTAATCCTCATTTTAATCACATCACACATTCCATTAACACGACAGCTAAATTAAAAAAAATATATATTAGCATTTGTGACAATATACAGGAAGAAACGCCAGGTGGGAAATTGGAACATATGAGTTTAGAATATAAAAATCAGCTAATCATTGAATCATAGAATGGCCTGGGTTGAAGAGGACCACAATGATCATCCAGTTTCAACCCCCTGCTGTGTGTGGGGTTGCCAACCAGCAGACCAGGCTGCCCAGAGCCACATCCAGCCTGCACGTGGAGGAGCTCGGTTGCAAGGGACCTCCATCAATTCCAACTGCCTGCTGTTAAGTCAAATCTGGCATTTTATGCACTAAGACAGGATCAGCAAGATGTGAGGAAAGTGACAGTTCCCCAGAATTGCTATGATGGTCAAGAATGCAAAATAATAGGATAATATTATCCTATATCTCCTATTACCTTTCTCTAACAGGACAGCTTTAATGTGATTTTGGTAACAATCTCTACTATTATAAAGAAATAATAACGTAAATAAGTTTTAAGACAGAAAACAGTACCTGTAAGCTACAGCTTGTGCAGGAAAACTGCACACAAATACATCCTTGATAACTGCTGTATAAAATGAACTAATCCTTTTGACATGTTATTCTCTATTGATATATCTATGTGTTCTCAACACTTAAAACTGATGCAGTTACTTTATCACAATTTCCATGAGATAATTTGGAGCCAAAGGTGGTTTCACAGCTCAGCTTTAAGGAGGAGTAAGATACCCAAATGGCATCACATCTACTGACCACTTGGCATACATGCCTGCCTGCTTGTTTTGGAGAAACTACTGGGCTGCACAAACACTGCAGAGTAAGTGTCACATATGACTCTTGTTGGTTGATTTTTTTTTTACATTAAGTTTCTTGAAACAGATGTAGGGGCAGAGGGGAGGGTGGTTATTTAGCACCGATTTCTCCAGCTGCAATACTGACCTGATAAACAAAATTTATCTCAAATCTCAAAGTCACTTCTGCTGGTTCTGACTCTTTCAAATGTGCCCACCACTAATTCACACAATTAAGAAACGTGTGCCTTACCAGTGCCGTTCCACAGAAGGTGAACAAATGATACCACAACTCTTTTGTACAGCACCACCTCCACCTAAATGGGCAGCACTGGCAAAAGTTTATTTCCAATAAATTTTAAGTCTTATTGAAAGCAAATAAATAAAGGCAAAGCCTTGAAAAAGAGCTATCCAATTTTAAATGAAATGCCTCCTAATCACAACGATTCCAGCTAGTGAATTAACCATACGGAGTCTTACAGCCCCTTTCTACCTGTATTTTTCTCAATAAAATCCATGGATTCTTCACTTGCACTGAAGTGGCTGGAAGTTGCCTTTTTCTCTGCATCCTGCTCAACGTCAGACCCGGTGTGCACTGATGAGTTGGTACTCATTGGCGACCGCGGCATATCTGTCAGCGAAATCCTACGACCCGTGCTACTGCTCAGCATGGGTTTGCTCATGAGAATCTTCGGTGACGCTGTCATATCAAAGTTCAGTTTGATTTTCTCTTGCTTGTCCGTCTTTGCAGTTCCGGCAGTTGGGTTTGTAGGATCGAGCAACATTTGGTACTGATTATTGGGAGTATACGGTGTCCGGAAAGGTGCGTAATTAAATACTCCAAACTTCCTACGAATGTTATCAACATAAACCTCCATTTCTTGCATTGCACTATTGAAGATGCTTTTCGTCTTTTTCACAGAAAAAGGAATTTCTTTAGACATGAGGTAGCAATTATTTATTGGAACCCAGGCCCTATAAATCAAACAGAAAGACAGAGATATGACAGTTTACGCTGTTAACTGACACAGTACAGTTTTAAACATTTTTTTCCCCAAACTCTGATTTTATGCCATCATAAAGATGTGTGCACCTGAGATCATTTCCGAGGATCTTCACCTTCTTTTAGAAGGTCACTGCACAGGGTTTTTCACATTAAATAATCCTGGTAAATAAGTAAACTGCTTCTATTAGGATATTTCTAGCTGATTTTACTTTTCTCCAGCAACACATAAAAGAAGATTAAATACTGATCAATAGGACAAAACATACTTAACCAAACTAGTCCATAGAACTGTAAGATGATCTTTACAAAACAATCTTTCCATTGGTCGTAGCAGAGAAACATGAAAATGCAAGTGAGAAAAACAATTCCAAAGAACATCCTACAATTGTGTGTTCACTACCTTGGTGTTCAGACAGCTCAAACAACAGTACTGGCCCCTTCCACTAGTAAGAATTTTATTTTTTTTTTTCCAGTGCAAACTCATTGCCACATGAATGAACTTGGATGATCAGTGAGGTCATATAGGTGCAAGTCTTGCAAGTGCACGGCTCACACTCTACAGACATCATGTAAGGAATTAAAATTGCATACACTACAATGTTATTATAGCTTATCCAGGTCAATATTAAAAAAAAAAAAGGATTCCAAAGCTTGGAGAGCACAAAATAACAATGAGGTGGTTTTTATTTTTTTAACTATAACCAGAAATAAGCTTTGGTTAAATTCCCACCTGTCGTGTTGGCCAAAGAAGCGGGCATCAACTTGCCCATCTTTATCCCTCAGTGCTTTAGCAGGCCAGAACGGAAAGCCTTTGAGTTTAGCCCAGACCAAAGGGTGAGGATTGCTCTAGAGAAAGATGGTAGAACATACGGTAAGAAAAAACTAGCAGTATTACCTTCAAAATCTGTTATACAGCATTAAGTTTTTAAAATTATATTTATTTCCTAGATTAAATAATGTGCAAGACCCTGGACAAACACAAGATTCCATTTCACTATATATTTGGTACCTAATAGATCATGGGAAGAAAAAAGTTAAAAAAAATAAATAAATAAAATATTATCTCGTTTGAACAAATCTTAATAGGGCTTACTATTCTATAATTTTTTTTCTTGTTCTCTCCCAATATGCAGCACATCCTAAACTACAGTTGACCTCTGAAATTCTTTAATTTCCACTTAAGCTCAAGAGAGAACTTGATGGATTACACAGTTCTACTTAAGAACTTCAATAAGTCTTTCAGGGTTTGGTGCAATATTAAACAAAAGCAGAAGTCAGACAACCTATTAACAGGCAATAAAGGAAAGCCAAGTCTTAATACTGAAATCTCAAAACCACGTTTTCAAAAGTTCACATTTCAGAAATTTTACTCTTAGTGCAAGTACCACAAATGACCCATCAGTGGGCACCTTTTATTTGAGGGCAGAGACTGCAAACTGGTTGCTAGCAATTTACAGTCACTTCTCCAAAAGCATGAGTCTGACAGCTAACACCTTGAGATGGTCTGATTCCACAAAGCGCGATGAGCGTGACGTGTAACTACAAGTGGCTTTGTAAAACCAGCAGTTCTCCTTAATTCACACCTCTCAGTAACCACCACAGGTTGAAAACAACAGGAGGACAAGAAGAGCTAAATGAGAGCCTTTACTTCAATGCACTAGCTAGACTACCATCATCCTTAACTTACACAAGGCTCACAAAACCAATTCTCTCGTTTTTGGCAAGCAGCTAAGTAACATTCCGGACACACTTCAATTTCATTCATCTGAAAAGAAAAGGAAAACAATTATTCAATAACTTATCACAGCTCAAGGTGCGATTAGTAAATACTGTAATATAATAACATCATATTTCCCACCAATCTGTGGTCATAAATCAACCTTTAACTGCCAAGAATTCAATGCTACTTTGAAAGTAAACCCTGTTTTCCTACCCCTGTGAAGCAGGCTTTCCAGTTAAACAAGACACATTTCTAAGCCTCTCTTCAGATCATACACTGCTCATGTCATGAAAATACATTCTGTCTTTAGTGTTGCATTTATTGCAGTGATAAAGAATTACTGACCACCATTTGTTTCTGAACACTTAGTTCCATAATAATTTAGGAGACCAAAAAGGAAATATGTTGTTCTTTTTTCAGACTATATAAGCCAATTAGGAAGTCAGAATCAGGTCATACACAATTTTTTTTCTCTGAACAATTGATACATCCTCAAAACTTACTAGAATAATGGATATTGCTGCATCAGCAGAGGGGTGGGAAAAGCACTCTGCATAAATATGAAGTGTCAGATTATCAGATAATTCATATCAATGAAATACCATTCAAAAACGCTGCATTTAGAATAAATTTTTGTAATATTAGCATTATGAATTCTCAGTGAAATAAAATCACTTCAAACAACCAACTAAAATGCAGGCATTTATTCACAGGGCTTTCATACTGTGACATCAAACGAACCACCTCAAATATGTCTACAAATCAGAACATCTGTTTCTTTTTCCACCTCCAAGCATTCATTTAGAAGACAGGTGTCTTTGTGCAGATCCCATATATCTTCTCTCCCATCACTGACATCCTAATTACATATGGTGAATATCCTAAGGAAAATATTATTAGCAATGCCCTTGTCAAAATCCTCCTATAAGCCATGGATATGCATCCCCAAACATAAGAAAGCCTACACAAATTATAGTTTGTAATGCATACATTAGAAAACATTATTTCAATCACAAATACAAGCAATGGAATACTTCAAATATACAGATAGAACAATCAAATTAACTGGGGTACACATACCTCATGCTCACAGATTTTGATGATGACTTTTGCTGTTTGTGTCAATTTGTGATTTCCTGAGAAGACAATAAGAAAAATGCTCTAACCAAGAAAACTGTTAGTATAAAACGATGATAAAAATCAACAGGTTTTAGTTATAAAAAGTTTATGTTGAAGACAACATAGAACATCTGAAAAGACAATGCAAAGCAGGTATATATTCAACACGTGCTTGTGGAAGCAGCAGGCAGGCTCTTCCCAGCAAACAAAGCGCAGTAAAAAATCTTCACATGTTCCCTGTTTGTGCCTGTTTGTCCCTGCCCACCACTGACACACCATTCAGTAACGGGCATCTCCTCAGGTAGGTCTCCTTCTGAGCAAAGAGACAGCATAGGCAGTATTTGGTCCCTAGTGTAAATGTAGGTCATTCTTTGTTTTTGTAAAGTCACGTTTAGAACTACGGCATTAGCAGGAAGATACTTTCACCATTTGTCAAGCAGCAGCAAGTTTCTGCATTGCTTAATCCAATCTGAAGCTTCATATTCTAGGAAGTATATCTCTATGCTTACCCCCATTGTAAATAATGCAGTTGTGCAAAATCCATTTGGCATCAGCCAAAAATGCTTCAGTGCAACCGTACATTTTCTTTTTAACATTCTGGAAAGAAACATTTAAAAATGTATCAGAAAACAGATATGAGTAAAAACTCGCATCTTCCTAAACACTGCTGCCTGTCAGACACACAATTACTAAAACAAAAACCTTATATTACAACTCATTCTAAATACTTCAGTAACCTTCGAAGTTCAAGGTGTTTTCTGACTGCCCTAAATATTTATGAAATGTCTAAACCAATTCTCAACAGTGAACTATTTAGATCAGCATCTTCAATAATTCCAAAGGGCTGCAGAGGGGCACCAGTAAGCACCTGTCCATTTCCTGAGGCAGTAATTCTGCTTGAGGTCTCTACAGAAAACTAAGTCCCTGATTTTGCACTGGCATATCATCATCGCTGCATGGCATTTTAATTTCTTAATTTTGACAAGACCCAGGAAAAAATTATTTACTACACCCCATAAGCCAGTTTTTGATATTCTAGCCTACCACCTGGGTGAATCAAATCAGTGACATGGATTTGTTATACATTTATGCCACAAAGACATTGACCTCTGCTCCCAGAGCCCAGAGAATAAGGACTCCTCACCCAGGCACTACCACAACAAAGCTCTGCATTGCTACGCTATTATTAAAGCGACAGAGAATGAAGAACTTTGTAATTTGAAACATTGAACTTATTACTGAACTGACAAACTCCTGTAATCCACTTCTTTACTGTTTTCTTCTCCCACATCTCAGGTGCAGTGGATGTTCTTCTATTTGCTATTTTATATGTTCTAATGTTTGACCAGCAGATGAGCCTGGAATGACCTCTGGTCACACACTCAAATGGTCCCAAGGGGAATCAACGTATCAGCAATGCATTAATAGCTAACAAACATGGTGATCAAACATAAAATGTTACTAATGAAGTCTCCCCACAGGATGATTCCCAGAATTATACGGATTAAACTTGTCTTTTTTATACTGCTTTTGCTGAGCACTTGCCATTAGCTCAGACTGCATAACAGACACATTCAGAGGCTCTTCCAGTTGGTTTTACAATAACAAAACTGTAATCAAAACAATTAAATAATTTCAAGCAATCTCTCTCGCTCCCATCGAACAACCCAGAAAGCTTAACCACAGCAATCAAACTCAAAGGACCTTTGCCTCATACCAACCTTCTCTAATGTACAAAGGTCCATTGGATGAAAGATATATTCTGCATAATCTGGGTGTTGATCCAGCGAAACTGGCTTTTGAAATGGCTCTGTCTGTTAGGAGAAAACAAATCACACAGCTTCTTAATACTGAACAGCTCCATCAACAACTCCATAGTCACTCTTCTAATACTACTTTCAACTGCGGTATCAGAGAAAATTATTTAAAAGAAACAGTAAAGATTTGTGAAGTAATGCAGTGCTGGCAAAATGAGGAAATAAATGCCCTCACATAACTGATTTTTCATATGTTGGAAGTGATGAATTACAAGCCTTTGGGTTTTTGTAAAATGGACTGTTCTTATTTACAGCAGATCTTTTTTGAGCAGAGTATTAGCTGAGGCTCAGCAAATCGTTTTTTGGAGAACAAACACTCCCATTATCTAGAATTAGAAATAACTTTATCAGTCTTAGAACTTTCAGAACAATGGCGACTTGCAGATAAATTCAAACTTCCATCAGTGGGACTCTGCACGTTATCTGCTGCATTGCCTTTCTAGCTGCACATTGAGAACATTTTGTCATCTCAACACAAACACACACTGATACTTTGCTTCTGAAAAAAAAAAAAAAAAAAGGTAATGACTCTTTCTAAAAGGAGACTATCTACCACTCCAGAGTTAAAATACTCCAAGAGCTGAAGTTTATCAATACTAAAGAGTAACCTTCCTAGAAACTGTCACTATTTTTCTGCTGAAATATTTATCATGGAGACACCAGAGCTGTAAAGAACCCATGATTCCTTCCATACATCTGGTTTTTCCAATATATTTTACTGTATGCTTGCAAGCACAGAGACTCCTCTAATCTATTTACAGGGACAAGGTAGCAACAGGAATTCAGATAAGCCATGGCAATCCATTAAAACATCTTACTACACTTTTTTCTTCCCACATGTGAAAACTACTCAAAGCTTGCATAGTGAAAAAAGAGCAACCAGAAATTTAGAAGAAAGAATGAGGGACTGAAATGTGTGAAACTTCCAGGAGGCAATGATGATTTTGAGGGTTAAATCTCAGACAGACGTGGAGATTGGTAAAAGTTAGAGGAAACAACATTTTCCCTCCATGATAAAAGTTCATAGGATGGCAGATTCCTACAATATGCAAGTTGATGGCACAGGTTGCCAATACACTGAGAAAAAATTCAGTTTTACAAGTATATGATACAACTACTTCTTGTGGCGAGAACAATTTCCTACTAACAGAGAAAAGACTGGCTTATAATCAAATTAAGGGTTATAATCAAATATGTAACATTACCTGCACCTATAGCCTTGCCCACATATCTGGGTTGGTAAGAAACCACACCTTGTCATTTCCCTTGCACCTCAGATAAGACCAGCATTGTTCACTTTCAGTGAGTGAGAAAATACAAATTCCCTTTGGAAAGCTATGCTGCATCCTCACTACATCTACTGAAACTACCTCCAGAAGTTGCATCAAGGAACGGTGCTTTATATGCATTCCAGAACAGCATACACAGTCTGAACGAAGCTGTTTGCAATACACGGGTGGTAAACAGCAGAAAATCTGACAAAATGAGCTAGACTCAGGTCAACAAGAGGAAGCAAAACCCAATATTATGACAAACATACAGAACAGGCATTAAAAAAAAAAAAAAAAAAAAATCTTCCTTACCCCTGGCTGTTTCATTTTCTGTAGTGCAAACTTCAGCAAATATGATAGTTGTTCAGTGGTGAGCATTGTCATAGCTTTACTCTGTGTTTCTATGCATTCTGCAACTGTGATTTTCTAAAAATTAGGATGAAAATAATATTGTCAGCAAACATTTCTAGGTGAATTCTTCTCCAGTAAAAAATCCCAGCATTTGAACAGAAGATAATAACTACTTCCTAAGAAACAAAATATTTTTTATGAAGTAGCATAAATACTTCAGATACTTGTTTTATTAAATTCTGGATATGTTAGCCTAAATAAGTAAGTGAATATATAAAAAGGGAAAAGTTTAGAAACTACATTCATTTTTTAGATCACCCAAATAAGAGAATGTTGGAATACATACAATTCCCAATACAGTGCAAGCTCCAGCAACACGAATGAGGAAAAAAGTCATCTGGGCTCCATATAATGCAATACATGCCAAAAAAAAAGACATCTGATAAACCAATTTACTTTCATTGTAGATACAATGATGCTAATTATTCTCTCTCCAGAAGTTGTTGGAGAGGAATAGTTAAATTCTTCCTCAGACCTGCAGAAAAATATAGTACTAATAATATCCTCTTGTTTACGTAGACCCTACAGTGCACATGTTCTGAGCACTCTGCAGAACTGATCAGCCCCCATGCAGCAGCATGAAGTAAGCTAGACAAAACTGTGAACTGTTTTCAGAGTTAAAGGTAAGATGTGGGGATCACTCTTTGAAATGGATTCGCCTTCCCTAGAGATGGTAAGAAGTTGAAGAGTCACAGTGAGATGCCCAACAGAGTCCAGGTGAACGCACAGAGAAAAAGCAAGGAAGCAGCAAGAGACGCTCCCTTTTCACACAACTTTTTCTGGTACATAAGAGTAGAACAGAAACACATTGGAGTGTAAAAAAAAGCAGTTTGTATCACTCATATACAGAAGAAATCTGCTCCTTCTATCAAACTAACCTCACATTCTGGGCAAAACCAATCCCCCTCTGGTTCCGCTGTCAGTTTCAGACACTTAGCGTGATAAACCCGAGGGCAGAGTTCACAGCAGAGGACTTGGCCTTCCCGATGACAAACCCAGCAATAGAAATCATTCCGTCCATCCTGTGGTACAACATCAACAGGGTCTGTGGTGAGTGGCTGCTTCATATAGTAAAACGGACCATGTCTTAGTTCTGACTGAAATGTAGGCAAGAAAAACAGGTTTGGTTTCAAAACAAATTTGCATTTCATACAAAATAGCATTCATAGCAATAAATATCATTATATATAAATCAAACAGCAATCTACAGAGTTTGATTAACGTTTATGTAAACACAATATCTTATTTATTGCACAAAGCCATTCATAAAGAGATTCACTTCATATTCAGATGCCAAATGATGCATATTATACTCAGCACTGAAAATAAATTTTTGTGGCAAATGAGGACATCAAGTGCAAGTCGTGCAATCCAACATCCTCAAACTCAGAATCCCATGGGGCTGAAGGAGCTACATCATACTGGGAGATGTAGTGGTGGCTAAACTGGCACAACTGAAGAAATTAATCAGTCCTGACAAAGTAGCTGAGCACCACACAACCCTGTCCTAAATTACAGTAACTCACAACTTTTCAGAACCAAGCAAGTCAATGGTGATTTTAACTGATAAAGCAAAACAAAGTAGGATGGCACAGAAGCAGATTCACAACTTTAATAAGGTGACCCCAGCAGCATGAGCCTGGGGAAAAATGTAACCCACCATTTACATGAGCATCAAAATTTAAGACACAATCTCCACTAGTTTGCACTAGAAAATAATGTGAATTTCATAAACTGCACAGACTGCTCTTTCACTTGCGCCTCAAACTGCTTAAAGGTGACACAGATGATACCAAAACATGAGAGCAGGAGAGCCTGAGAGAGCCAAAATTGGACAACAGATACCCAGTGTTTCCTGGATTGGATTTGAAGAAAAGCAAAAAATTATTGGAAAACTGAGACATATTTATTAATGATAAGGGAATTTAAGTTTCCTGTTTGCTATTAATTAAAGGAGGAGGGGATGGAGATAAATAATCACAAATTTTTTACTATTTGCTGTGACTCTTTGTTTGATGTAATGCTATTTGTGGCTACCCAACCAGCTGCTTGTAGTTTGCAGCACCTCTTTGGTTCTCGTGTAATCGTGTGCACTTCCTACATCACAAAGAGCTTCACAAGTTCTTAGGCTGTCACATGCCTGCCTGATTGCTAAACAGGGGGACAATATGCAAAAGCTGGGTACCTCTGCGGCACCCTGAACAAAACTGGTCACACAGGACATACATTATACACCACAAACCACCATCAGCTTAGACTGTGATCCTTCTAGATTTATAAAGTAGCAAAGGACAAGGTCTAATTATCCTCATGAGTAGGAGGCCTTCCATGACAAAGTTAGGTGATGCAGAAGAGGTGTTCTATGACAATCCAGCTGGAGATATAATATCTCAACAGATACACCAGAAGACATATTACCTCTGATAATCAATTACTGTATAATATTTCATGCAAAGAAAGAATGTTATCCATAAAATTTTACTGTAACTTCATAAGCATTCTGCTACCTAAAGTTCCACTTACATTCCTGTCTCTTTTGGCAGTTTTCATTTCCTATTCTACATACATTGCAGCTACTAGAAAGGTAGCACAGACATGGACTGAGCGTTATCTTCTGTACTTTCTCTGTATACAGTTAAACACAGATACAACCAGACCTCTACAAGGAAGGTTCTTTGTGCTCCTGGGGAATAAGAGGGGCAGGGAAAGGCTTTACCTACATTTCAAATATATTACTATGCCAATCATTCAAACCAGGACAGAAGTGCACGTGTAAACTCAGAGCGAAAAAGAGAAAGTTACAATTGTCAGCAGAAGTGTGCTTTGTTTGTGGTTACATGCACCACAGCTTGAGACCAAAATCTCAATACTCAGAGATTCTGAAACTGAAGTCTTGGTAGTTGAGATGCAGCTATGGGCAGCGCATCCACACTGACTTCCTGTTCTAAAAGAAATTTAAAATCTGTAAGCAATTACAGAGAAATGAGCTTATTGTAGCTAAATAAAATAGTCCTTCTTTGCTAGAAGGTGGAAGGAATTAATTCTCTGACTGAGGACTTTCCTATCTTTCAGATAAATACCACCTTGTTTTGTCTGAGCTAAGACTGAGGGCCAGGAAAGAAAGAAGATAGGAATGAGACTCAAAAAGACTCAAACAACAGAACTAAATGATGGAAAACGAACCCCCGAGTGACATCAAAGGAGCCTTTCACTTGTTCTAATCAGAGCAACATGTTTAAGAGTTTAAATGTTAACAGTCATGAAAGAAAAGCTTTGTTCTCCCAACAGTTTCAAAAGTCAGTTCCAGCTCAAGTGGCAGCTTGCCCTCACAGTTTCAGTAATGTTAGTAAGATACGTATAAAACTGAAGGAAAAACAAGAGTACTGTAGTGCTTTTTATGCAAGAAAAAGATTACTATTTCTAGTCAGTTTAAATTAACTTTAAAGCTAGGTTGGAAAAAAGCTGCTACTTCAAATATATTGTAGCTGACCAAGTGTTGCACATTCCTGATTATTTTTTTTTAACCTTTTAGCTATACTCTTTATCTCCGTAATTTTTTGTATGTCAATACTTTAAATACCCGTTGGCACCATTCTGAACACCCGTAGCATCTTAGTACAAAGCCTTGTGCAATGATAGCTGTAGTGAGGGGGTATCTTGATACACACCAGCACTACCAAACACTCGATGGTGAAGAATATCAACCTGGAGGCTCCACTGATGTTGCCAGACCTCAAAATGGATTTATCAGCCAAGCAGAATCACAGCTGTCAGCTACATTATACTTGAAACCTAAACTAGGAGCAAAACAAGTAACTGTGTGCTTAGCTTACATCTCTTCAGCAGTTAAGGGATCTTTAACATTAACTGCCATTATGTAGAGCAGACTGATACACCTTATAGAAACAATCATCTTCAGGTACGTTTTATTAAATTAAAAACAACTTACAAAAGCAAAAAAAAGCCAACAAAAACAAACCAAAACAAATGATACTTCCTTGCTAACTGATAACATGTACAGCTAAGCAACATGCCTAGTTTGCTTTTCTTCTTTAGATACACAACTTTTCTATCCTGCAGTATTTCAGGTTTGAAATACCTGGAAAACAGAAAATGATTTACTGAGGGGAACGGACATATTGAGTTCAACAACTACAATTATTTTTCACACAGTGTACTTTTAAATGCATGAATGAACAGTGGGAAGGAATCCTCTAAGATTCAGCCTCACTGTCTGTACCATTATCTCTACAGAGCGCAGTTAGAAAACCCAAACTGCAGCACAACATCATCTCCTTGCAAATGTCCAAGACATGTAGGAATTCTCAGAGCCCACAGTGAACTCAGAAAAAGCCAAACTGACAACATTAAACTACATCAGCAATGCCTACACATGCTGTTACTAGACCTCCCCAGTACCCTAAGTAAAATACATTTAGCACTGAAAGACCATTCTTTGGCCTCATTTATTCAAGGTCTCTGTTCCAAAATAAACTGCAGCGATTAACAATTTCATTTTCCTTCTAAACCAGTACAATTGTACCATGATGATGTTTAATGCAGATGCTAATACATGAGGGGAAAAAAAGCTCCAAATCCACACAACTTAATCCTGTGTTTATAAGATAGTGGTAGAACACATTAACACACAAAAGCACTCTGAACAGAACACAGGCACTTCATCTGCTAACTAGATGAGAAATCATTTCAGTGGAGCTAAAGATTGCTTTCATGTAATCTCCTCCAGGATGATAGAGCTGCTTTACAGCATTTGGTATTCAATGTAATTCATACAATTCCTTCATTTGCATCATACAAAGACTCTGAAATTGTCAGCCTTCTGGAATCAAGTCCTTTCATGAGCTACAACAAATGCTATAAATTCAGTATTCAGAAGTCACTGAAAATGAAGACGGAAAAATACTGCCAGCACGATCCTTGGAGTCATCAACTTTGGTAGCAATATTTCTGGCTCATCAGTTTAAAGGAAGGGGAGAGAATCTGTGAAGTACCATGGGAGCAGCAGGACTGTTGTTAGCAACTGGCAAGAGGACTGGGAACAGATGACAGATTCCCAGAGATATTATGGTATCTTTCTTAACCTAGGACATCACATCCCTCTATATTTCCTTTTAATTTTATTTACTCTCTTGATAGTTTTAACAACAACAAAAGCTCTCATACTAAAAATAAAAAACTTAAGAAAAAAAATTATAAGCACTCAAATCTGCCTTAAAATGCCAATTCCTGCACCCACTGCACCTTCAGTGAATATCTACTTTCTAGTGCAAAAATTAAGCTTCCTAAAGAGTAGGGGGCTCCTGTTCAGCTCTCTACATCCATCTTTCATTGGTTCATATCCTAGCATAACAAGACCAGGACTTCTCTTACCTGTTCTTTATTATTACTGTTCAATAGACCAGGTTTCTTTTTCTTTTTTATGGGACTTGTTGATGCATCTTGGGGTGAGTGGCCATTAGAGGAATGTGGAGGGCTGGGAAACTTCCTTTTTTGTGCAGTGCGTTCGGCAGAGCCAGGATCTACGTCAGATACAAACAAACCTGTTAGAGAGCACACATCAGTGAAAAGTGTTCAGCCAGCATTGTGCTTTATCATACACACTCCCTCACTGAACAGTTTCTCAATTGCCCATTATGCAATCACATACAAAACTGGAAGCACAAACAATACCACCGTCAAATGAAATTTCAGTATACGTTATTTTAGGTTACATTAAACATTTGTTTCTTTTCCCCTGGAATTCTGGTCACTCATCTCATTCCAAATATTATTCTTTTTTGAGGTGTAATAACAATTACATTCTGTAGTTTAGCAGAAATCCATTTCAAACTTATTTCCTCAATTCCTCTCAAAAATAAAAACAATTATGATTTCACTGATGTAATTTAGGAAGATAAGGAACAGAAGCGTTCCTTATCTATCTGTGGCAAATGATGAGGTCAGACTTTCTTCCTATTTCCCATATTTAAACGTGTCTACTGAAATTAAAAAAAAAAAATAGAAAAAAAGACAAGACTCTCACTCATTTCTTAACATTTGACAGCTAAATAGAATAAAAAGAGAAAGTGACATAACTTTTCAATGCCTCTTAAAGGGAGAGCTCTAACATTCTCCAAGCAAATGACTAGAGCAGTTTATTAAGTCACAGCATCCCTCTAGACCCAAAGTTATCACTCCAGGCAAGAAAGATGGCAGAAGGAAACGTGCCCATGGCTCAACTGCTTTAAATCATCATTTGGTATCTTAGTGTAAGCTCATCAAGCAGCTTAAACCGACACAGCAGCCCTGGTGAGTGCTATGAGCTGCAAACATTCTTAAAAAGAGACAGAGAAGAAACTGAGAGCCAGTTTTACCAATCTGCTGTTGATCCTCAAGTCTGTTTCACTCTCACAGTGGTGCTCCATTTTGTTAACACTTTATAAAAACAGAACAACAAGCACTGACAAGCTCATCAGAAATACCCCAGGTAAAAAAAAAAAAAAAAAAGAGCATTCCTAATAGATATGGAAAGCTTAGCTCAAAGACAAAGTACTGATGTAAAACAAAAAGTACCATCAGCTGCAATAGACAATCACTGATCAGCAGACAACCTTGACAAAATACAAATGAAAATGCAACAGATTCTGTTCAACACTTTTTTTTTTTTTCCTTAAGCTTTTAGCATGTTTAACAAAACAAAATGTTAGACACAACCCCAGGGGTCAGAAGTCATCACTGCCGAAGAGAAACAACTGAAACCTCCACAAAGTCATTCCCATGCAGTCAATTCCCTACTGACTTGTGCTAGCAAGCTTTTTTTGCAGCTACCCACAAAACTGTTGAGGAATAAAATTAAAAAAAAAAAACAAAAACAAAAAACCAACCAAACAACGCTTTTTGCTGAGTAGTTTCTTTCTGTAGCCCCACTTGTTGCACAGCCAGACAAGTGCTTCCCCTTCAGCAAAGCAGTTATACTGGACAGGAACAAAGGAAGGAAAAAAGCAATGCTGCTTTATCATTAATGCCACCTTAAAGGGTGTTTGCGTTTTCCACAGCTCCCGACATGAAGTCAAATCCAACTGCTGGGAAATAATCCCTTCCTTCACGAATCTGTCATCTTTCCTTCCAGGTCTCACTAGGTGATGGGCTGAGTTGTATTGGGTTGCCAAGCCACCAGAATTTACTGGAAGACCTCATCTGAAATCTCCCATGAAAACTAACATATTTAAATACTACTTTACATGCATAATACTTCATATCTCCTTTCTCAAAATGAAAGATGATATTAAACTCATCAGCTTTAGGAATCCACTTATTCTTGTGTGAGAGAGATGCACAAAAGTGTTCATAGACTAAAGACAGGATAAAACTTATGTCAGCTTAGCCATTCTATTTCAGGCAGTTATCATTGTCAGTCATCTGCCCTGCCTGCGGCACATGTCCTGGACCTGCTCCAATTTTCAGCCAATCACATTAATTGGACTGAAAACAGGTACCTCAGATGCTCATTCAGAAGTGACTCATGTCTCTACTAGAAGCAACAATGCTCACCAGAGGAGCTGGCAGATGGCTTGAGGAGGTAACAGCACAGGCACCTGACTTTAATCCACTGCCTGTAAAGGCTCTCACTTAGCAGGACAGGCTAGTCAGGAGTCCAAGCTCCTTCCAGTTTCCTGTCTCAGATAGCATATCTTCTTTCCATTGCCTGTACTAATCCTGAATGCATTCGGGCATCTTTACAGAGGTACCCAAGTTTGATCACATGCTACTCTATCTGTACAGTAGGAAAACTGCATACAGAGATCGATTGAAATCTGCAGAAAACAACACAGTTGACTTCCCTCCTACAGGCAGGTAAGGTCATGCATGCTGCTGACTTAAGGTGCTTCAATGAGGAAACAGAAGTTATATGGACTGAATACATATCTAGGATTTTTAAGAGAATTTACAGTCAACTGTCAAATGCAACTCCTTCCTACAACAAAGCTGTAGGTATCACAAATAATATGGGCTGCTGACACTTTCTCATTAGACATTCTTAAAAGAAAGCCAATCATAGAATCACAGAATCACAGAATTGTAGGGGTTGGAAGGGACCTCCAGAGATCATCGAGTCCAACCCCCCTGCCAAAGCAGGTTCCCTACAGCAGGTCGCACAGGTCAGCATCCAGGCAGATCTTGAACATCTCCAGAGAAGGAGACTCCACCACCTCCCTGGGCAGCCTGTTCCAGTGCTCCGTCACCTCACTGTAAAGAAGTTCTTGCGCACATTGGTGCAGAACTTCCTATGCTGCAGTTTCCGGCCGTTTCCTCTTGTCCTGTCTCCACTCACCACTGAAAACAGTCTGGCCTCGCCATTCTGCCTCCCACACCTTAGATATTTATAGACTTGGATCAGGTCCCCTCTCAGTCTTCTTTTCTTAAGGCTGAGCAGACCCAGTAAGCCAAGAAAACAAAGTTTGGTTTAAAACTCTACTCAAAATAATGCCCCATGTAATTGATGTTAGGCTGAATCGCATTCAAAGGTGATATAGTTTGTTACATAGCACAAGTCTTAGAAGGTCAGTAACACAATGAAGAACTGAATTAGACTTCCAGATGATTTCTGTATTTTCTGCAAACGCAGAGGTCAAATAGTCCATAAAGAGAAATAAAACTGTCTCCAATAATGATTTGCACAAATAAAGATAAGGTTAACAACCTAGGCACATTTCTCTAAATACTACATGTATAATAATACAGGTACAGTTATGCTGACAGACTAGTGGGAGTTTTTTTCAGTTTAGCTAATCATGCACAGAAGGTAGCAGAAGAACTCCTATGGCTGGCATACGCTTCATCTATCCCATGAGAGCTGAGCCAGTAGAGCTATCATGGAAGAAAAACTGCAGCAGTGTCAGCTAAACCAAATCCCACAGTTTAACCAAAGCAATCCAAGCTAATATAAAAACAAGTTCTGAATTCTAACTTTTCATTTATGTGAAATAGAGCTTACTTAGCACGGGACCTGTTTGCACCCAGAGTGAGCAGCAAAAACTGCGTCGTGCCATCGCTCTTCTCATCCTGCTATCACCACACAGCTTGCACAACATCTCTGTTTCTCTTCTATAACCTCCATTTCTTAACACGGCCTTTTCACACATTCCTGAAAGAAGTCATGACTAAACTACTCTCACTGGGAAGTGCTGACTGTACTTTAACCCTTTTCCAACGCAGACATCTGTAGAATTCTCTCTCCCTACTGCAAACAACACCCTTAAAGTACTTGCAAGGACCTATTAGCTCGAGTTTCCTCAGTATAGCTCACTGAACAGTCTTCAGCATTTATTTCCATTTACATAAGTACACAGGCACAGCTGAAACCAGGAGAGTAACAGAAGATTACAGCTTTCTGCCCTTTGGCTTCTATTTCTTACTTTCAGGCACAAAACTGCCACCAGAGGAGTGCACCAGTTTGCTTTTAGCAATTCAATCTATTTGGGGATTACAAAGAAGATGCCAGTGACACTGAATGTGGTACACGAGCTCTGAAATGCAAAAGGAAAATTGAGTGTAAAGTTTACGTTATAGGCTTGCTTCCATCAAGTGATGATTTCTTACTTTTAAATGATGTTTTATCCTGAGCTGCCTCATTTGGGCCAGGAAGAGTTAAACTGCTGTATACTAAATGAGAACTGAACTGCATTTCAGTTTTCAGTCATAAATCCAAACCACACTTTAACTGGAAAGAGGTACTGATTCAATACTGATTAAACCAAACTAAACATGATTCCACAAAAACACGTGTTAGGTTAACTGATTTTGAAAACTACTTACATTAAACCAGTGTAACTTTCTCATGTGGCTCAAGCCTGAGAATGTCAGGGATTTGCATATACATGAGTGAGAACTCAAACCTCACAAACTGACCTGAATTACATATTTGACTTTTTTTTAACTGGCAAGTTATTGAAATGGCCAGAGATTTTCTGAAGGCAATATAACTGAGGGGGGAAAAAAAAAAAGAAAAAAAGAATAGACAAGACAACAGCAATGCAAAGGTGGTGTTTTCTTTCAGGTTTAGTCATGCTGGTGGAAGAATCTAAGGCCTTTAACTGTCACTGTTGCAAATCTACCAATCTGCAAGGGAACTAATACTATGAACAGTTTTTAATTCAGCTTAGATAACACAGAATGTCAGTACCTACTTAAATAGGGTTACTTTAACTAGAATTGAAAACTATAAAGAATGCCCCTGTGTTGTATTTTTGCAAGAATGGCCTCACTTTGGAGTGCATCCCACCACTGCAGTTCATTGCCAATTGCTACATATCTCTGGCTTCTCCTTGCTTCTTCCAGGAAACCCTGTCACACACTGAGCACATCAACTCAAACCAAACTTTTCATCAATGAGCATCAATTGTGCACCCATCTTTTCTACTTGAAAAGGCAAGGATCAGACGGCAGTAACTCAGCACTCAGAAAAAAATGCTCCATATATTAAATGATGGGCATTAAAGAAAAATAATGAATTAACATTTCATTAAAATTGTGATAAATTTAATTGTACTATTGAATTAAT